CAAAAGTAGTGCCTACATTGAATTGCACCTATATTATAAGACAATACAGGAGGACAGCTCCCGAGGGCAGCTCCCAAAATCTTTGAATTCTGTTCAATCGCGGACTCAAACATGCACTGAGATTTAAGCTGCTCGGTACGCAGCTACTTCTTGCCACAGGTTAGATCGCAGCTTCGCATCTCTAGGCGGTGCTGGGGCTCTGTTCATACTTACCACTTGTTCTGAGCCTTGCACGCCTTGCATGTCCCAAACAAAGGCTGAATAAGTTGAATCAAGCGCCCCTTTTGCAGATAACAGCATTGAGGGGTTCAAGCTCCTTACACTGGTGAAAGAGAGAAACCAGCGACCACCCAAAGCGTTCTTTCTGAGCAACAACCTGGAAGGCTCTCCCACCTCAGCCTTCACACCTATTTCAGCGAGGGCGCCCTTCAGACAAACGCACTCCGTACCCTGCCTGCAATCGTAGGGGAGCTCCATACGCACCAGGGTGCCCCTCAGCATATGCTTGTTTTCTTGCACGAAAAAAACGTTGCCGCATCAGGTGAAGTGGCGCAAAGGATGCGAAAGGCCAAGACAACATTCGCAGAAAAAGACACTTCAGAAGGCTTGATTGGGTGTTTTTATTAAAATAATTTATAGGCCCTCTTTAGATGACAACTATGCCGTGATCCATTCAAATAATAAGCTGGCACACAGGTACCCTCTTATGAACCGCTTCCAGGGTTCTGCTCGAGCTCCTGACTATTCTCATGAGGTTTGATTGCTGGGCGTTTCTTTTCAGCAAGATCTTTCGGTGGGGTACCAATCCCATTTGCCACACTCAGCGCCGCGCTGGTGGCTCCTTCATGACCTTGGAGGTCCGCAGATCCGATCGAGTCACTGACAGCAAGGCCATGGAGAACAGTGCCCATCTCAACATGTGGGGGTTGACCAAAAGGTCTGAAAGACATGGGATGACCGAAGGGAATATTGATCAACTCAACCCCCATGTAGCCAACTCTTCTGACCAATCTCAATCCCTTGCCCGACCTGCGGGTAAGCCCAGGCTGTGTGTCCGGCGCTTGGCTTTTCGTTTGCCGGAGAGCTAGGCAGGAACGGGGAGAAGTCTCCCGTGGGCGGCACCTCGGCACCGAAGCATTCGCCAGTGAGCAGCAAAATGCGTTGGCGCATGCAGGAAACAAAGAGTTTTTCTAGAACTCACGGAGCTTGCTCAAGCTCCCCCAACAAACAAGTCCCCTTATTATTGAGAAGTTGCATGGAAGCTGTGCCAAAATGATGATACAAACAGATCTAGCGATCCCGCCATCTGCCAAGTTGCCATGGACTGGAGGGAGGGGACGAAGATTACCGGCGTGCCGCATAGCATATTGGGCTGGCCAGGGCGATTAACTTTGGATTCCGCAACCGCGAGCTCTAACTTCATCAAGCGCCAAAATCAGGGTGATGGTTCGCTTTCTCGAAGCTTGATCAACCCGCCGGTGTTGCGGGTTAAAATGAACCCGGGTTCCATCGCAGTCAGTGCCTGTGCCTTTGGATCCATAGGCCGGCCTGTCCTGGCCGGGCACTCAAGCGCTAGGCCTTCATAGTTCCGCAAGTCAATTCACGTATGCTGGATGTTGCTGGATGTTTCAGCCTCAGTCAGACTGCCAATGGTGAAGGGCTAGGGTGCCCTGATGCAGCCCATAGCTGGCATGGCTCAAGGAGTGGATTATGGCGTCCATGTTGCTTGAGTTAGCAAAGTGAAACCACATACCATGCTTCTCTACCGAATCTGCGGCTTGCCTGGCATTCTTGAAGCCACAAAGCAAATAAACGGTGCAAGGAAAACAGGAATCTATGCACGCAAATAGGCCTCGTTCAACTATGAAGGTGATTGCCTGGATTTGTGTCTAGCGCCAAATTGGCCAGCAAAGTGCTTCTAAAAGTGATTTGAGGCCATGTTCACGCTGGTCCCTTGTGGTTTCCTTCCCTTATTCCTGGGGACGGGCACGGTTTCCAATGCAAAACCGGTCCTCTTCATCTGCTCCAACTGCTCCAGTTGCGCCCGCTGCATATCCGCCTCCTCCTTCTCCGCTGCCGAGAAACCCGGCACCACTCGAAACCTCAGAGCCGGAGGCGTTTGGGGTGTCAAAATCGAAACCGAAACACGGCTGGTTTCCTGTTGATTGCCCTTTAAACTGAAAGGGGACGCCCTAAAGACACCAAGCACCAAATGTCTAGGCAGGAAAAGCCTTGTTCTTCTTGATGGGCAATCGAAAGGTGTGGAAACGCAGACATGGACACAATTGGACAGGTCATGGAACATCGCACAACTCCACTGGCAGACTGGGTTGGCTTGGGTTGGCTCCTCGGTGCAACAAGTGCGCTGCCAAGCTGTTGTATATCATACTAGTTTCTGATGGGTAAACGCGATGCGCGTGCTTGGCTTGAGCCTACGAGCAAAGAATTCTGATGATGGGCGCAATCTATGTGCGCGACATCTATGTCTTCGGAGGAGTCGTACTTTCCGTCATCCCCACAAGGCTGCACAACTGACAGTAGCCGACAACCCAAAGGCATCTTCACCCACTGCCACGGCCAATGGCATGGGCTCATGGCAGTGGCCTCACTTCACCCTTGGCCGTCCAGGCAACGATGATTTGGCCAAACTACAATGATAACTGACAAATGGGACCGCAGGTTTTGGTCCACTTACCAGGAATCCATTTTGGATAGCTATTTTTCACCCACAGCCAAAATGGCTCATGATTTGTTTCATGCATGGTCACCCCGACGCTGGTTCGATTGAACCAGCCCCTCTTATACCCTTTTGCTTGCCCGGTTGCTCTTCCAGGCTGTGTGCGTAGGTGCAGTGAGGGTCCTGTCAGGGGGGCTACAGAGGCAATGCATTCCCAGTCAACCTCGAGTCCTCGCAGTGCCCGGTCTGCAAAAGTTGCTTGCAGACTTTGGTGCGGGCCAAGTCCGGCAGAGTTTGCAGCTCACCTGAAGTGGATCACAATCTTTGCAAAGCTTGGCTGCAAGCATCTGCGGACAATCAAATGTGGTCCTGTGCCCTGCGCCATTTGCAGGCTGCACATTGATCGGAGCATGGTCGCGCAGCTTGCAACAAGCCAAAGCCATCTGCTGACAAGTGACATTGGTCGTGTGCAAACCGGCACTGTGTGCCCCTCCTGAGCAGAAGAGGAGGATAACTATTGAATATGTGCACGGCGTGGAAAGCAGCACAAGAGCACAAACAGCAAATGAGACTCTGGTATGTTCTTTTGTATTTTCTTATCACAAACAGTGATATATGGTTCCGGTCTGCGAGCGGCCACCCCCCCCTAATGGTATCCCCCCCACTTGGGGGGGGGGTGGCCGCCCGCCGACCGGGGTACGACTCTCGAAGCCTTGGCCCTAACCGGAACCCACCAGCGGGCCCACAGGGGGGTGAGAGGCCGTTTGCAAGATGACCATAACCTGCAAACCCAGCGGGCCCACAGGGCGAGGAGGGGGGGTGCCAGACCTATACCATATATACATATATACACATATTATACGTTGATATATATATATATATATATATATCATACAAATGTGCAATATATATTTATATATTACATAGATATTATTTTCTTTCTCCTGGCCAGGCTGTGGTTACCTGCTGCAAGTCTGGCAAAACTCCCGGATTCTGCAAGCTGCCGCCTACTGCAAGCGAGAGGCTGACAGCTTCCCATCAAGTGGAACTTGCACATCCTCAGCTGGCCACGACTTCCAATGGGCCCTGAATTGGGGCCCTACCTCCTACCCCCTTCAACGTGGTAGAGTACACACACACACTTTAAACAATGCCGGAGTTGTTGCTCCCCTCGGCAACTGACACCCTACGGTTGCAGGATAAACAAACAGGCCATCTGACCGAATGTGAACGATGGCTTCAGATGTTTTCATGGGCCTGAAGCCTTGCTGAAGCTCCCATCTGGTGCAGCTGAGCGTCTTTGTCTTCTGGAAGACCTGTGGGCGGAGGCAGGGAAGTGAAGTGGAAACAAAATTCCCCTCCTCCTGGATCACCATGAAGGTGTCCACTTCAAGACAAACAGAAACCACTATCTGGAAAACATAAAAACATCCTTGCACAGCACCCCAAACGCGTGGTGCGGTTTTATTGGCCTCAAAGATTCACACAAAGCCCTCACTTCTGGCACGCACTCAGGCACTTGGTCGGATTGGCCCAGACTTGAGTGTACTGTACTGCTTAAACCCATGTCAGGAACCTCAACATCCCAACACTTCTGTCAAAAATGTAGGATCTGACCCGGTCGTTTGCATTTTGGTTGCGCGCACATGAGTGATGGGTTGCATTCCCTTTAATTTTGCATTGACGTATCAAACCCTTGCGAAACCTTCCGCGAAGCTTCCACAGCGAAGGGTACCTTCCGCGAGCATGTTTCTATATATCAGCGTATATCCGCGGAAACTGAGGAAGGTAGCTTCCGCGAGGGAATTCGTGCGCACGGTTTGCTAGTACCTTCCGCGGGAAACAAACCTTCGGCGCTTCCTGTGTTGTTGATATGTCAACATCTATACATGTTTCCTTGAGCGGGAAAAAAAGTAAAAACAAGCAACACTCGAATGGGCCTGTGTCCGCTCCGCCCGCCGGTCGTCATCCGCTTGTCGCCTTCCTCGCCGGCGGCCTCCGTCCATGGCGGATCGGATCGCGCCCTCTGCGTGGCGCACGAGAGATGCGAGGCGAAGTGGCGTGTCGATGCGATGAGTGCCACTGCTTTCTGAGTTTGCCCGTTCTTGTCCGGCCATCTAGAGCCAACTGCAAGAACGCAGGCGTTGAAACAACACTCATGTCATGCAAATGTCATACATGAACCGCACGTCTGGAAACATGTGGCACAACACTAAATGCGGATACTTGCTGATTTCCTCGCAGGATCCAAGGCCCAAGTCATGACAAGCGGAGAACAAGACTCTCTTGCATGCTGCTACACTCTGGAAGGTCCATCGCCCGCCTCCCCCGCGGCACTTGCCTTCAGCCTGGCACACTATCGCCAAACAAGCTCACATCTACATGTGTGAATATACAAACATGCTCCAGAGCAAACGGGCTCTTCTGGCTTTGACTGCCTGAGAGGTGCACGTGCCAAAGGCAGTTGAATATCCAATGTGACCTTGGGAGTTGCTTGTCCTACCACTTTTGTGGCAAGTGCCTCAACTGGCACACTTGAAGCTGCCACATATGAGAAGGAAGCCGGCATCCATGGTCTTGTCCTTGCCTATCTGTCGAACAGAGAGACCGCATGACTTCGACGCAGTCTCCCGCACTCCGCTCCGGAAGGTCCAGAGTGCCCCGAGGTGCCAAGGGTCAGCTCAAGATCATCGGCTTGGCCGGTTTTGCCAGGCACTACCCCGGAGGGCCTCGCGCAAATCAGCCTAGCACACGTTCAGTGATCTCTGCTCAGCAGTTGGTTCTGGACTTGCTGATGCAATAACTCAATTCTGACCTGAAAAGAGCAAACCTCGAGCCGCATCCCACTTCTGCGAGTGAAGAAAAGGCCAAACAAAAACGGGTCAAGGAAAAATGGATTCCGTCCCCCAGCTGCAGTTTCAACGCGTTCAGACCTGTTTTGCTTCGCTTTCCAAACTCTCTCGCCTTAGCAGCAAACCCAAAATAAATGAGGCGGCAAAAACATGGATTTTGCCTTGCCACCTTCCCCAGTGCAATGCCAGAGCAAAAAGTTGGAAACGCCAGTATCCCCAGCATGATTGACCAGAAAGGTGTTGAAGAATGAAATGAATGAAGAAAACTGTGGTTTATTCACAGGGCCATTGTGGCATTGAAGGGCGGAAGATAGGAAGATTGGCCCGTACTCCGCAAACGTGTGGCGCACGGTTGCCATTCGTCTATGATACAAAGTGACTACTGCCACCGCCACCTCCGCCACCACCCGATGTCATTCTTCGAATGCATTCGCAAAGGAGAGAGCTGGTGATGACTGCATGCAGACAAGTGGTGCCCTTCTCAACTTCTTCAATTCCTTGTGGGGAACGCTTAAAAGGGATTCTCACAGTGGCCATTCAAGTTGATAGAAAAATCAGAAGGTGGATGGTGCTGCTTGCTGACACATGACCTTTTGTCCAGAAATCACGGGCGAAATCAGCATGAAGCCGGGCACAGCCTCCGAAGCAATTCTTTCGCAGTCAAAACCATGGCGGCGGCGCAAGGGCCGGAGCGTCGACAGCCACTGCTGCAAGGACCCCTCCGACATCTTCAATGTCAGGCTTTGACCTGGCCGGAAGCTGTTCCTTCAATCCATTTAGCTTGCAGTTCCTTCCGGTTGAAACCAGGAACACATACGAAAAACGTGGTTTCTCCGAGACAGAATGTGTTTGACGGGCATTCTGAGGATCCATGCAAAGTTCACAAATGCTCAGAATCTCCTTGCAGGTTTATTTAATCCTGTTCCAGCTCGTTGCCCTGGCGGCGCAGGCGCGTGGTCTCTGCTCCTAAATTCGACCCCCGCAAGCAAGTGCAGAACAAAACGTGCAAGACGATCTTTGTGCACAGCAGAAAGCAAATGAAGTTGGCCTTCCAAAAGAGTCCATCTGGGGGAAGTTGCCAGAGCACATGTCACAATAAGACACGGAGCACTCAGGCCCAAGGTTCCTTTCATGGAGGAAATCAGGGTATTGATGTAGCATAGCAAGGTTGGCAAGCCAAGAATGAGTCTTAGCTAGAGCTCAGTCATGTTGCTCTTGCTGGCATAAGCCTAGAGAGCATTGCCAGAAAGCTGGCAAGCCATTCTGAAAACATTAATAAGTGTTGAAGCGATGGGTTGCTTGTGAAGGGCCGCGGCACTGTGTAGGGGAGCAGGTCCATTCAAGAAGCTCTTCCTCGACGACAGAGTGCCAACATGTAGTCTGTGCCAACGCCAAGAATCAACTGCTTAACGCTGTACAAACACACACCGGCAGCAGCGATGAATGTGGCAACTGCAACAAGGTCTCGACCAAAGTGACAAGTACGAGCAAAGCAGAATCAAGCACAACGGGACCCAAAAAAAGACAATCCGCAACAGCAGTCTGAGCACGCTTGTACTTCATTATGCCGGTGCTGTTTCCATAGAAAAGACTGATCATACACTCCTAGTAGCCCACCAGCAAAATCTACGCTGGCTTAAGGTAATATGGCCAAAGGCCAAACCCCCGCTTGAATTTCAGTCCGGCCGAATCGGCTTTGCCTCCCAACAGCATCAGAGTGAAGCCATCCTCCTGAGCCTGGCAAACAGATACAGCTTCCGCTTCAGGTTGCCATCCCCGTCAGTTTCGAAGCAAAGCTCTGCTTGTTTCTGCCTTCAAATTTTAGCCCTTTTTGCACCTTGAACCATGGATAAGGCCCATAGCGGATGACATTCCCTCCTGCTCCGTGCCCCATGCCTGCCGAGGCCAAATCAATTCACTGTACTCTGGACCAATCCTCACGGCTCATTGTGCGCAGAAACGGGCCAGCCCCCGCGCCCCAACAAGTTTCAACGGCGAGTCCAGGTGGAGCAACGACGTGAATTGAAGACTGATGACGCACACAACAGATTTGGGATGCACCCTGCAGCAATGGGGGAGGTCAGGAGGAGGGCACCCCCGAAAGATGGTTTTGGGCAAGCGAACTGAGGCTCAGGGCGGTGCCAGGTCGCAAGAGCAAAGTTCACTCATCACTCAACACATGGCTGTGGGTCAAAATTAAAGGAGCTTGGGTTACACCGGTTTTAGTCTTTGTTTCCACTTGCCAAGAGGCATTTTGTGTACCTTGTTTCGAGCCACATGGTTGAATCGGTGTTTCGAGTTGACCCGGCCGCACCTCCAGGCGTTCCACCTCGTTGAGGGACAAACGGCCTCGCGGCTGGTCCGGCTTCAGCTCCTCTTCCGAGGTGTGATAATCCAGGCGATCCTGCGGATCAGCCGCGAAAGCTTCCGCCACTGAAGGCCAGGTCAGCTCGCAGCGCCATCCCTTGGGTGTTCCTTGACCAAAAAAGGCTCGGCGCTTTGACGCATGCCCAGTGGCACATGGAAAGGAAAGGAGCACAATTCATGGTGTGCCACTACAGGAAAGCTGCAGACATTCATTGATCTGCTGTAGCAACGATGGCGCCTGACCATAACTATCCCATGTGTGATGCAAATGTTGCCAGCTTGTTTGCAAATATCATTTATTCGCTCCATGGAGAACTTCACTGGACCCCTCTCAGTGGTTCCTCCTTGAGGGTGACGAAGCTTTGCCAATCAAAACAAATGACACAGTCAGGCCTAAGAACAAATGTGTGAAACCTTGAAACGTGGACGAAATGACCCTGAAATGTGGGCCTACTGTCAAGCCTGATATGTGGAGACGTGGAGAAATGTGGAACCTAAAAAGTGTCGACCCAAGCAGGACACTTCAAAGTGGACCACCCTGCAATCGACGTGGAACAAGCAGGAGGGGTGAGGAGCCAAAACCCTGCAAAACCTCACTGTGGCCCTGCAAGGATCCGTGAGATGTGTGGATTCTGTCTGGGCCCTTGAAATGTGGAGAGGGTTGAGGGCCGAGGGGCCTGAAACTTGGCCCTGGAGGCTGGAGGGCCGAGGAGCTTCAAACGGTCGCCCCGAGCCCGCCCAGACACTTTAAACAAGCGCATTAAATACGAATAATATACTACCTCCGACGCCTTCCACTCCGGCCCGCCCTCCACTTGAATATTTGTAGGCAACGTAAGATTGCGCATGCCGTCCTTGTATAGAACAAAGAATCGATTCTGAATACTCTTCTTCTTGAGAACGCCCAGCGTCCTGAGCAATCCGCACATAGTGCCAATGACTTTGAATTGGGCCTGCTTGATGCACCCCCTTTTGCCGGATCGAATTCCGCTCTGTCTGAAGGTATTTCGCTGCCATTGTCGCACCCATAAACTTGGATAAACAGCTCTCTTAGACCTTGTGAATCCGTTCAGGTGTTCTTTTCAGCAAGAATCTGGCACACAATATCAGTGCTGAGGCCGGTACTCTTGGCGAAGAATCTCCTCAACGTACCAGCGCAGCTTTCAGCAATCAACATGTTGTTGTGCTGTTGACAGAAATCTCACACCACTTGTTCAGGTCGCGCTCTTTAGCTGTCAGCTACCTGGCACATAAAGCAAAAGGAAGTTGGACTGATGCTTTCTTGACAAAGGATTGTTCTTTCCAACGCCCGCGGGAGCACTTTTGCTTTTAGGAGGTGCAAACCCGCAGCGCATGAAACTGTTAAGCTTCAGCCCCATGGCTGAGCTCATGTTCCATGTTGCAAAGTGTTTACAAATATTTGCACCACTTTCATCCCCTCTACAAGCCGAAAAACACGTGGATTCACCATGCAGTCATCATGCCCAGTGCTTCACTGCTTCACTGCTTCACCTTCTCTGGGGTGAGTGCGCGGATGCGCGGGGGATTTCTAGAGATAACTTGGCTCCGATCGGCTCCGTGCCTCTGTGGCCATTTCGCAGTCTATGGCATCAACTTTGCCCAGCCTCGAATGGCCCGGCACAGTGAGAGTCAGCTGAGGGTCGTTTGGGGGTGCTTCGTGCTTGCGGCGAGCAGGCAACATCCACTGAGGCAGCGGCCCCTGGGAAGATGCCAAAAGATAAATTAACTGAGAGCCAACAGATCAGCGTAGACACAAAGAGAAGGGGTAAGGCAAGGAATTTGGATGCTTCGCTCTGTGCTCTTTCCTGGTCTGTATGTCTTCGGGCCAGTGGACTGCAGATTCCCTGCCAGCGTCACCAGGAAACTGGGCCCTGTTCCAATTAGATGAACACAACTGCTGTTGAGTCGGAAAAAGCCACGTGATTTGCCATTGGCAAAGTCACATGGAGGCCGAGTCAAGATCACAGCACTGCCACTGCTCCGACCTGAGATGCTGAGATGCAAACGCCGGCGGACATGCCCGCGGACAAAGGCTTCCCAAGGGTCAAGCAAGCAAATGTCCCATGCATGGCTCGACCACCAATCAAACATCACATTCCATCCATGAACATGGCCTCTGTTCCTAGAGCAATCAAGCCTGCTCAGACCCAACGACGGCAAAACGAGCTGGCAACAGAATCGCAACTCACGTCATGCCACGTGCCGACGTCCCAGCTGTGACACACCTCTTGACACCTGCGCCCAGGCAACTTGCCTCCGCCTCTACATCCTCCAGGTCCGCCGGGTCAGTCCAACGCCCGTGCCTGAGAAACCGCAAACCCGATTTTCGACTTGCACCTCAGAGACATGAGCTCTCTCACCGTTCGCAACTTTACAGACCCCGGCCTTGAGACCCAGGAAAAAGCCCAAAGACACAAGCAACTTGGTGCTGTACCAATCGCATCAGGCTAAACAAACAAACACCCCCAATCCCAGGTTGCTCAAGGGTCGGGTCGCAATTATTTGGCTGCGGTGAACCCGTGGGAGGTGTCACTACTGGCCATCACTTCAACTTCATGGAAGCTGAGAGACGATCGTGCGAGGTGGCAATTTCGTCTATGGGAGCTGCGGGGGTCCTTGTGATTCCTTGGGGCGCCAACTCCTTGATGAGGTCCACCAAAGCCTGAGGGCCGAAACGGCGGAGACGGGCAATCCGGATGGGGCGCCAAGCGCAGGCAAAGTTGTGCCAACATCATTCCTGATTCTTTCGTGGATGCTGGAGAGAGAGGCCGAGTGGTATTTGGCATTGGTAGAAATCATGTCCGCCACTGACGCAATGACAAAACAAGTTGCGAAGATGGGGCCAGGTTCCGGGGGACTGGGTCCCTGAATAAGGTGGGGGGTAGACACACGCTGCGCAGCAACAACAGCGACAAATGCGCGAAGTCGCGACGATGTCGGCTGCCTTCTCGTGCTCGGCGTGGGATTTTCGCATTTTGAACACGGGCATATCACAAATCCGCCGACATTGTTCGGCGTGTCGGATACCTAAGAGAGGACTATTGGATACCTAAGAGAGGATAGAGGATAACCCCCCCCTTAGTCCCCCCCCGGGACACGTCAAATACGCATGGTTTTTCGGTCGCCACCCCCCCCCCCCTCCCCCGCGTACCGCGCGGCAATTTGACGACGTTCCACTAAACGTAGTCTTCGGGGAGCCGGTGTCGCAAAACAGGGGTCCCAGGCTCGATTCCCCTTGCCGGCTTTTTGGCTGGCTTGGGCTTCTTGCATCCTTTTGCCGAAAATCTGGAAAAACTCAATGTTTTTGGTCGTCCTCTTTGCGAAAACGCAGGAAAACCGTGCTTTTTGCGGAAAATACTGGGGAGCAAAGGGGAAGTGCAAGGATACATACATGCATACATTACATTACATTACATTACATTACATGACATGACATGACATTACATGACATTACATTACATACATACATACATTACATACATTACATACATTACATACATTACATACATACATACATACATACATACATACATACATACATACATACATACATACATACATACATACATACATACATTACATGCATTACATTACATTACTTACTTACTTACATGCTTACATACGTGCGTACATGCATACATACATACATGCATGCATACATACATACATACACACAGACATTACATACATACATACATACATACATACATACATACATACATACATACATACATACATACATACATACATACATACATACATACATACATACATACATACACATACATACATACATACATACATACATACATACATACATACATACATACATACATACATACATACATACATACATACATACATACATACATACATACATACATACATACATACATACATACATACATACATACATACATACATTACATACATACATTACATACATACATACATTACATACATACATACATACATACATACATACATACATACATACATACATACATTACATACATACATACATACATACATACATACATACATACATACATACATTACATACATACATACATACATACATACATACATACATACATACATACATACATACATACATACATACATACATACATACATACATACATACATACATACATACATACATACATACATACATACATACATACATACATACATACATACATACATACATACATACATACATACATACATACATACGTACATACATACATACATACATACATACATACATACATACATACATGCATTACATGCATACATTACATTACATTACATTACATTACATTACATTACATTACATTACATTACATTACATTACATTACATTACATTAGATTACATTACATTACATTACATTACATTACATTAATTACATTACATTACATACATACATTACATACATACATACATACATGCATACATACATACTTACTGACTTACTTACATTACATACAAACATGCATGTATACATATGTACATGCATACATACATACGAGAGAGGGAGATTGGGGAGAGAGAGGCTTGGGGGGGGTGGGGAGGGAGAGAGGACAACAGAACACACAAGGGAGACAAGGGAGAGAGGAGGAAGGAGAAAAGGGAGAGGACAATGTCGGCGGACTGAGCCGGAGGCTCTAAACTTTGTCCTTGTTTGCGAAGCCGATGGTGCTGGTACGATTCGCATGATGGATAAAAGCCCATGCAGCAAAAGAAGAAACTACTGTTGTTTTCTGAGCCCCATCATTTGATGTTTGGCAGAAGGATGCGTGAAACAAAAGGATTGATCGGCCGCTTGTCCAGCACGTCATCATGTTGATTGGTGGCTAATTCGAGTGTGAGTTTCTGGTAGATAAACAGCTGGCGAGCACGCCTCCACGGCATTCTCAGAGGGGATGGCCTTCTTCACGCAGTCGTACTTGACGTAAAGATCCACCCTGGGACCGGGATGGCATGGATATCGAGTAACCGGGTGAAAGAACCAGCAAATAGCACACGTGAACAGCCAGAAAGATGGCATTTGTGTGCCCGCTCACAAAAACTCAACAACGCCCGCATTTGGGATCGGATAGCAAAAGCTCCTGACACACTGATAGGTTTGAACATATGGCAGGTCTTGTCGTCATTCACAAAGATGGTCCGGCCGAAGTCTGGGGGCGCCGCTTGCCAATGCCGCTACCAACCTCAGTCGAAACCCACTTAAGGACCACCTTGCGCGTACCATCCGATGAATTTGAATTGGCGACCCTGACGGAATTTGGGTGGGGATTCATGTCCACCACCAACCGCTCTGGAGGTGTTTCCCGCAAGGCTTGGAAATGGAGCCCACGCATGCTGCGAGTGCTGCACCCCTAGGCCGGCGGCATATCCAAAATCAGCGTCTGCCATCTCACCTGGCCTTGCAACGCGCTGCAAGAGTGAAACGCTGCAATCAGGCAATTCTTGTAGAATAGATATGCTTCCGCAAAATACCAGTAAGATGTGATTCAGTTTTTTTGGCAACCCCCATGTTGGTGAAAGCCCATTCCATGTTAGGGATGTTGGTAGACCATTGCAAACCCCGAATTCAAGACGGTGGAGGTGTTGAAAGACGTAACATGGATGATCAAACGCTCCCTAGACCTGACTGTCACTCTCACCTTCATCACTCCTACCCATGGTACTTTGCAGAAAGGTCACTGTCAGAAGAATACATGCTTTTCCAAGTGCTTCACGGCTTCATGTCAGCTTGCAGTCCATTGAGAGTGCCAAACTGCCAGGCCCTCTGAGTATTCGAACTAGAGGCAAGAAGCCTGCGTGCACATGCTAAGAGGTGAGGTCTACATCGTCCATGTGTCTGCAAGGCAAACATGTTTGAATTACGCGGGAGTTCGGTCTTCAAGTGCCTTTGAACGACCACGGCGCATGTTAAAAGTGTGCAAAACCAAAGGCTCTGAGCTGCGTACCCATTCACGATGCAGCCCATGATGGCGACTCGAACACCTGGCAGGAGAACTCCCTCACAAGTCTTGTGTCATGGAAAACCAAGGCCCGCCAAGACCTCATGTTGCAAAAGGCAGAGGTATGAGTAGTGGACAAATCCATACCTTCCGACAAGCTACCTCTGTCAAAAGCAGATGTAAGAGATCTCGAGACAGTCATGATTCGCAACCAGGAGTGCGGGCATGGCTATCTAAAGCATCCCATCATAGGAGAACAAAAGTCCACTCTCAGACAGTGAACAGCTCAGGGATGCTGCCACAGGGCATTGCTTCAGAACACGCGCCAGGCAGCAGGCGTGGCCCAGAAAAAGAGCCAGCTGTGCTGTGGTGTTGATCAACTGTACAAACCGGATCGAACTTGTACTGACAGGAAACAGCCTTTCAAGTTCGAGTTTTTGCAAACTGTGCCGTGAAAAAGCAGGTTGTCACAAGCTGCTCCTGCCCTATACAGGACCCATATTTCATCCTCCGGTTCATCTGGATTCCTGCATCATGAACTTGAGTGATTCGCGTCACGGACAACAACTATCCCCACCATCTATGCCAGCCCCGAGGCCGCGGAGCTGGGTCCGACCGCGGGCCGTGCCTGGCAAATGGCCCGTTCGCTCCTGGATCTTGGCCGTCGTGGACTGCCTTATGCCCGGTCAAGCACATGCGTAGGGGAAATAGATGGCCCTGGCAGATGATTACACCACCAGGTAAACCAGGGCCATGATTTTTCGAGCAAAACAACCAAAAAGGACACCTATGGTCAAGCAGACTTGAAGGGATTGTCCACAGGCAGAATGAAGGGCATATTTCAAAAGCGCGGGTCAGTTCGCCTCCAGCGTCAACATCCCGGGTTGGCGCTGATGGACGCAAAAAGGCTACAGGCAAAGTGGTTGCGTGATCTGTACATACCTCTCGCAAATTTCTAGACTTAGTTGCCCCAAGTACCATGGCACGGAGGTTGCAAATCCGCTCTTGCAAGATGAAAGTCAGTGGAGGTCGTCACAAGCCGACCAGTCCTAGGAACAGCACCAGTGACACCTGTTGTGAATATGGTGTGGATCTTGAAAACTGCAAATGGGTGTCTTTGTTTAGACTCGACTCCCCCCCCGCATTTGTGGATTTAAAGGGAAACCACAAGCAAAACACCCATGTGATTTTGGGTCACCCCCAAAACAAGACACACACCCAGGTCAAGTTCATTGCCAGTCCTGTTGCATCCCATCCATTCAACCAAGTGTCAACCGTTCTTCACGAGCATTGCGCTTCACTCCGGGAAAATGTCTGAGAAGTAGGGCGTCCATGAGCTGCATGACCGTGGGTTCCCTTTATGACAAAACTTGGCTTCCCCCCCCCCAACCAAGAGCCTGAACCTCCGAAAAGATCATAGGACAATCAAACATGTCCATCCCCCCGAGCGAAACTTCAAGACTTGAGCCTCCGCGCAAGTCAAAGAGCGTCCGGCCGCAGGAGGGGCAGCTGATGAACTCAGTCTTGGAGATGCGCATGCGAGAAGCCTGCAAGGCGACTTTGACCATGACAACCCCCCTGCGCAGGATACCAACAAGTACCAGGGATGATAAAGGCCACCCCCGCATGAGGCTTGGGTCCAATGAACTGCAAAAAGATCTACCTTACCTGGAGACGTTCTTTGTTTTAAGAAATACTGAAATAGGTATGCTTTGAGATAGCTGACCCACCCAAAACAAAAATCCTGCTGACCCAACCCAAGCAGAGTACCTAGGAAAACAATACAGACCCAAATGGCCAAAGGCTGCATCGCCTGGAGCAAGTTGAAGGAAGACTCCCGCAGCTCATCTGCGGAGAGCTCCTCCCATGCGAGTGAGAGGAAGGCTGTGGGTCAAACAGCGATACCCAAATGGAACCCTGGTAAACGAAAACATGGACTAAAACATGCGGTTTTCTGGTGGCTGCATTTTCACTCATACCCATCTCATTTTCTGGCTGTTCTTCCCCAACTGCGAGAGCTATGGGTCGGCCATCCTGTTTTGCGGCTTTCGGGCAGGTGACCACAACAGCGGGCGCCAAAGTTAAGGGCGCCCGGTGTCGCGCCGCAATCAGCAGCCCTCCGACATCTCTTGCTTTTGTGTTCTCGCATAGGTCGCATAATGCTTTTCACTGATTCATATTGCGGTTTCATTGTGCTGCACACGGGCAGCCAGCATATCTATGTTAGGACTTCTCAAGTTGTCCAATGTCGGGATTCAATGGGCAGCACTTCACCGGCAATATGCATACTTTTGATGCTGTATCAGAGTGAAAGCAGTAAGATCCTCCCAAGTGAGGCTTTGATGCAGATGAGCTTCCCAAGCCCATCCTCTTGGCAGGCCTATTCCCTTGCAGGAAGCAATGGTTCAAAGGATTGCTCCAAGGCATGACGCGTGTCAATCGTCTTAGGGTGGCAGTGGGCCAACGAGCCCCTCGATGGCTCCTCCGCATCCCACAGGAGGCCTTCGCCCATACCATCCTCGGCACCCGATGAGATCATAGGCCAAAACCCCCCGAGCCGACGTCGCCCCAGCTATGCCTAAGGGTTCAGCGAACAATTCTTAGCGGATCTTGAATGCGAGTCCCGAATTTGGGCAGGGCATGCAGGGCTTAGCAATTGGGACAAGTGTCTCTGGTACAACTTGCAGTTGCAGTTTGGGGTTTCAGGTGCAGGCCCCTCTGCACTGGTTGCCTCTCGACTTGCAGCTAAGCATCCACAAAAAGGCTGCCGAAGTCTGCAGCGGCTTCGACAACCTTGGAGCGTAGCACTGAGCTTCTAGCTGCTTGAATTGCAACTCGTTGGTTGGTGAAACCATCTCACAAATGGCAAGTGCAGGCTGACAAAGTTCATGGCGTGGATTCGCAGCTGGCTGCTACTCTTGGTGTCTGGCAATATCATCCTGGTCCTTCCCGTCCTCCTGATGCGCACTATCCGTGAATCTTCGGCTAGAAACCAAGCAATTCACGTAATGTAGACTGGGGCTCCTTTTGGGTTGTTTATAAACTTACGTACATGGGTGTGGGTCAAAAATAGGTACCCAAAATGGAACCCTTGTAAATGGAAACAAGGACTAAAACCTGCGGTCCCCTGGACGTTTAATTTTGACCCATACCCACATGAACAACTTTTAAGCGTAGCAAGTCCTCGCAACACTACAGGCTGGCCACTGGTCATCTACTCTATCGCCCAGCTTCTGACCAGCCTTGGCGTAGTCAAACCACAGCATCGCTGGAACCTGGGCTTGGCCAGCGTGAGCGGGGTGGATGTCATGCTTTGCCCCAGACATTTTTGTTTGATGGGATACCCATTTAGAACCACTAATATTGGCTATCCCATCTGCAGGAATTCACGGAGCAGCTGCGGCTCCGGCACGCGACTTGCACTGCATGACATTGACGAAAAATCTGGCAAGGCACGGGTGTGGGCAATTGCCAAGTGTCTCTTTCTGCTGAGAGGCGTCCTACTCTGCGGTTCTCGTCTGCACAGGCAAAAGCAACTTCTTCCAAGTAGGTACTGTCCATGAAGCATGCAACACCTTTCAACAGTGCAGAATTATGTTTTAGGCAAAGGGCCATGCCTTAGTCTCTAGGCCATAAACCAGCTGGTGCCTTCAAATGATTGGCTTACTTCGGTCCCCTTTTGCCATGAGCCTTTGGGGACGTGCCTAGTTTGACACGTCCCGAATGATGCAGAGTTGTGCAATCTGGTCACATAGAGCGAAGATGACAAGACTGCACGATCATCAGGCGCGCAGTCCGGCAATGTAACTCGCCCCACACATCCGACGAGGTGTTGCCCGCCTCCTGGCAAGGAAAGTCCTCGCGCACAGGGAGAAAGATCCAGGCAATCGTGTGGAGTTGGTACCCTGCCATTCGGGAATCATGCCCTTGACATCAGGGGCACTTGAGGCATACTAAAACCATAGGACTCACAAGAGCCAACTTCTCCCTTTCGGTGAGGAATGACACGCTAACCTCCAGCTACTCAGGTGCTGATCTTGCCTCACCTGATGCATGCCAAGCCAAGCAGCTTGTCTGACGCCTTCCAGGGTGCTCGGTCCTGCCGTCCCTGATGGCCGGCTTCAGCAACAGCATTCTGGGCCTAGGCCACTGGGGCCAGGCGCTCGAGTGTTTGCCTTTGCATTTGTCTGCACTTGACAAGTCCCCAGTCCAAGTCAATGATGGAGAGGCCGCAGGCCAAATGCCACCAAGGTGAGCCAGACAAGGTCTTGAGCTCCGCCAGTGAATTCGGTAAACATGCTTTCTTAGTCAAAACTTACATGGAGTGCCAAATGAGTCAAATGCATAGTGTGGTGTGTTCAGGAGGGTGGTGGGAGTACCCTTCGTCTTGCAGATGCGTTTCAGTTGGCTTGCTTTGGCCAGGCAGAATGCGTGTAGCTCGCACTTCAAGATCGGAAAGGATGGTCATGTACACGGTGCAGTGAGAGGCATGCTGTGCATTCAAGAGAGGCACACTGCCACACATGTATCAAATGCTTCAGAAATTACGGTCACGGCACCCTCCAAAACAAGAATCCTCCGCACCACTTCCCATGGATAACATGTATTGCAGAAATCCGGTGGCGTGTCTATTGAAAGACCAGCACAAGGATGTCCCTGCATTATTGTAACATATTTTTGGCAGGCCCATCTGCAAGAAACTTCTGAGCCGCCATGAGGATCTGGACACTGTTGCTCCAAAGCCCCGCTTGTGACTACCTCTTCAGGAGCTGGCGAGGACTTCTCCAGTGCAGCCTTCATGGTCTCCTTGGAAGCAATCATAACACCAAGGGTGGAGAGAATCTGCCTAAAACGATGTGCGGAATCGCACGAGGTTGCCTAGGTCGATAAATTGGCTCGTGTCATGGGTTTGTAGATGCTGAAACATCAATCTTAGATGAATGCAACGGTATAGCGACAACACTATCTTTTCCTGCCACCAGGGATGCAGTACGAGACACATACCAAGGAGCTATCCATTGCAAGGCTGAGTGCATCTCGCTCCTGAGACTCTTTGCCGGTGAAAAGCAGCGCGTAGCCGCCCAGGCGCTCAGGCCTCAACACAACCTGCTCTTGCAAGAAAAATACGCGACACTCCACTGGGAAGCCTTGGGTCGAGACTTGGGCAACAGCAAGAACACGGAGGGGCCAGTGACCTATGCCGCTCGCGGTGTCGTTGACCTCTGGGCCGCCGGCATCTCATCGCCTGCGACACACTAGGCTCGCCAGCTTGATTTCTGCTCGACAACCCCATACCACCAGTCGGGACAAATCGAACAAAGCAAAGCTGGTGTTTGGTGACAGCTCCAGCTGGCCTTTGCACAGCAAGAATTATGAGAGGAAAGGCGTTCCATTCGCTGCCCTAGTTGGATTATATGGCCTCACAAGGATCATGAAGTATGGCCGCTGTAACCAAACCAATCATTACACATATCAAACAATCCCTTCCCATGTATCATGCCGTCCATCATTGCTTGCAGCTCAGCAGAAAATTGCTCGTGTCGTTGGTCCCAACTTGCAAAAGGCGGGTGTCAGAAAACATCATTACCACCGGCGCCTGCGTCCATCTGGCAAAGGCTCCAAACAAGTTGACTGTACACACCCTCAAGGAAAAGCAGCCCAAACATCATCCGCCGGCCTCCGGCCGCATCCTCAGCACTCATCATGACTGTGGCCTCGGCGCGGCTAGGAAATATGTGGGGAGCGTGATATGTGGGGAGCGACGGTAGCATCCCCTCCCAAAAAAGCCCCCAGTTCGGCTCGCTTCGCCGCCTCAGCATTCCCATCACTCCATGTCAATCATGCCAACCGGTAAATTGACATGCACGGAGCTACGGAGCACAGTGAAATCGACCTAGGCGTTGGATTCCGTGAGTGTGTTGCCTACTTGTGCAATTGGGCTGAGCTCAGCCCTGAACACCCTCGGGGACGTTCGGGCCGGCCTTGCAAAGCACACCTGGCGAGGGAAAGGCGTCCAAAGCAGGCTACAGGAGACAAGAAACACTGTTTGCAGGATGGGTTGCCGCAAACTAATCAGCAAGCAGGTTTCTGGAACCGCAACCGTGGTTGAAGGATTGAACAGAGATGCCAAATCCCGTTTGCGAGGCCTCTAGTCAAACGGCGGGGCGTCACTCGCAATCGTTTATGGAACAAACGTGGAACCTGAAAAATGCATGCTAGCAGGCTTGCTGGCTTTTTGCAATGAACCATGCGTGCCACGGTAAAAAAGACATGCACTGCACGCTTGCGCCTGTAGGCACATCCAGGAGAGTCTTCAGCTTCACACCAACGTTGGGTGTGACCATGCCATCCAGGACCTGGTGCTTGAGACGCCGCCTCTCCGGAGATATTCTACTTTTGCTACTGTTGGCGTTGAAGAGACCTAGGGAAGTCGATCACCTCATGCCTTGGATCTGCATCTCGGGGTCTCACGATAGAGGCCCTTCTATTTATCTAGGCTTGCTTGCGCAGGTCAGAGATGGATACTTCGACCACTCAGTGACGTATATCAATCTGGGTGAAGCAAGCAGGGCCCAGGGAAGGCCAGTTGAGTTCTGTGGGGACGAAGTCGCAAAAGCGAGGTCCTTCAATTGCCGGGCGCTGGGGTGCAACGGGCTCTAGTGTCTGCTGGCCCCCTGCCATGCAGAATAGGACGTTTCACCCGGATAGCCATGACATCCGGACCATGTCCTTTCGGTACAGGCCGCTCATCACTTCTCAAATCTTCGCCCATGGTTCCAAACATCTCCCCCATCCATGTCCTGTCTGTCACCCCAGTTGAGGTGCCGGACCACCACATCCACGCTCTTCCAGTCCTTCTGCACGTCGCCATCAGCTCGAAGACTCAATCAGCGCACGGACATGAGCATTGAAGCGAAAAAAAAGCTCGCATTGATGATGCAAACGGCATGGTGCAAGTATGGACTCTGATAAGAATGCAGGCAGCTTCCAGGTGTTGAAGCAAAGGTGATGCTCTTGGCCATCCAGTTCCTTGTACCATCCAATTCCTGTATGTTGCCGCTTCTTCAGATTCTTCTGTGTTCGAAGGCCATACAACAAAACAGTGTCCTCCAATCTGTGTATGAACAGGTCTCAACCATCGCAAGCATCAATCTAACAAATCAAAGGACTGAACTGAATTGCCTCCTCTGAGATGGCTCCGCCGAACAACTATACCATTTATAGTGCAAAAAAAAGAGCTCGCGGGAGGTGTTTCTCCCTCAGGTACCCTGCTCACCTCAACGTCGCATTTCCCGCGGCTGAGGTTTCGGCCGAAGGCCCAGGCGGTCGCAAAGAGCAGCGGTGTCGAGGCCTGCAAGCTCCTTGACCTCGGACAAAATCCCTCACCCGCGAAACACAGACCAAATTTGGATGCGAGGTGCAAGGGGGGTATGGTGCCGTTCATAAACTGGATCCAGAGGCACCTTTTGATACGCGCAAGCGAGTTTTCGTGCTCCCCTGTACTCTGCTGGGAACGTTAGTAGATGGGCTAGGGGTAGGAAAGAGGGAGCAGGGTGTTTCTTGAGTCGAGTCAACTGTGAACAAGACGCGTTTTGACTCTTGCTGCGTCCCGTGAAGCGCCGGACACACGTGCAGTAGGGGAGCTTGGAAGGGACCGGAGCTGCTATGCTGCTTCAGTCCTTTCCTTTCCTAGTCTTCAGCCCTTTTGTTTTCCAAAGGGATCGAAGCATTGCATCTGGTGTTTTGGGGCATGCAAGAGGGCTTGGGGCCCTTTTACGATTCGACTGTTTGTTGAACTGTGGGAGGCATTGAAAGTGTTCAATGACCAAAGACACAAAGAAACACACGGCCAACTCATTCTCATTTCAACTCCTCCAACAGCCGGCAGCCTGTAGCTGGGTCCCAAGCGGTCATTGACGTCAGAACGGAGCCATCCACGTTCAGAGGGATGTCGAGAGGAAAGTCGCAACTGCCGCGCAAGAGTCGACACCCAGAATGCGGCCGTGAGGTATAGCTCTGAAACTGGACTGGCTTGAATTGTCGGCTTCTAGTTGGCAAGTGCTCTCGCTTCTGCACAGCTAAGAAAAACACTTGAACACCTGACATGAGACATTGGCCGCGCTTGGGCGCTTGGGCTCCCGGCTCCCGCCGTGAGAAGACGCCCTCGCGCCGCTTCGTGTGCTCTTCGAAGGGCTCCACTCCCTCGTCCCACGCGAAAAAACGTGCGGCTCCGGGTGCGATGGGAGATGGGAAGGACAACAAGATGCCAGGCACCAAACCACAGCAACAAGAGCAACAACAGCGACACTACACTCAGTTGCCCAAAGGACCCAACAAAAAATGGTTAACCTTTCGATGTCACTAAAAATGGATCGATTTGGGGAAACCAAAGGTTAAAAGGTCGACTTCAACTGAGATCATGGGGAACATGGGAATGACCGAACCAGCTGTTTGAGACATGGGGTTTGGGTCATTCCAATTCACCCCCTGCATACCAGCATCTTTTCAGCGCGAAGGGTCCGGCCCAGCCTGGCCCAAAGACCTCTCTGCGACACCTAGCAAAGGGGCGGTGGGAACTTGGGAATTTGTGGAATGGGATGTAGCTGTGGGTCAAAAATCGTTACCCAGAATGGAACCAATTGGAACGCTGGTAAATGGAAACATGGACTAAAACCTGTCCCCTGGTGGTTTAAGTTTGACCCATACCCATGTCAGTTTTCCACTCTTCTCTTGATTCATGCGGTATACGAAAGGCAACTGGATGGCAAGTCGCCGAAATGAGCAGCCTGCTGTCAAGCGCTCACCAATTTGCGACACAACCAGTACCCTTAAGGGAAGCCGTGGAGAAGCCAGCCCAGACACGAGGCCTGAAAAAAGATCCGGTGTCCCTCAGTTCCACTCGCTTGCGCGTTCGCAAGAATGATGTCAACGCAAACATGGCATGTACAGTTTTGCCTTTCCAAACTATCTGGTGGATTCTCAATAGTTGTCAGCGCCGAACTCAATCAAGGCGCGTCTTGCTTTACTGGTCCCTTCAAAGGGGCGTTTTTATTACAAAGCGGGGCAAAAGGGGGAACCCACCGCTTTTCACTCATCGGCTCCTTTGCTCCACTCCCTTCGGGCCTCGCAGGGCGATGCACGGCTTCGCCTCAAACTCGGGGTCCTCTGTGAGGCTCACCCGGATGGTGTCACCTGACAAATCTGGGACCCGTGCTCCATTTAACCCATTTGAGTCTGTGGAAGTGTCCCAAGCCTGGCTGGGATGAGCACTAAAATTTGGGTGGTGAAACGACAGCCGGGAATGTGCAACATCTGAATAACTGTTCCTGGGCCAAACCCTCAACCGCCAAACCATCTGAACGAAACAGAAACACGCCGGCAGAGAGACCGGCAAAGAATCTCCTCTTGAATCACGAGAAGCCTTTTCTCCACAAAAAGGGGCACACGCATTACGGGCAAGCAAACAGCCAATCAGGTAGCCATTCGCCCAGCTTCGCCATACATGCGCACAGCTTGGAAGAAGCCCAATATTGACCTCCAACGTGGCTCGGTTGCGGACTTTGCCCTCACCTAATCAACAAGAAGAAGCCATGAAGAGCACCCTAAGCGCTGCACCCAGACCGTCTTGCAGCAGAGCCCCGATGCCCACCGCCGACTTGATGCGGCCTATGGCTGGTGACAACGAAGGCCGTCAGGGAGACAACCCCTCCGCAAAGTGAAGCAAGGCAGCAACAGAAAGCCAATCAGCTACTCGCTTAAAAGTTCACATCTGATCAACACGCAAAAACGCCAAGCCCACAAAAACTGTGAGCTTCCCCGAACAGGCGGTGCTTCTCATGCAAAATCTCATGCGCTGGCCCAACATATATTTGGCTCAAAGGATGCAGGCTTGGCATGTGCCTGATCCCAGACTCCCAGACTCCCAAGTCCAAGACCTCAAGCATCCGACGTGAAGCCCTCGCTCCCAGGCTCGGGCCATCAGCACCGCCGCCCGCTTCTGTGACCCCCAGGTGCAAGGGGTAGTCCTCACCGGATCGGGAAATTGGATCGCCCCCGTTCTTTATGTGCAGCCCCTCTCCAGGTTTCCCCAGAGCGTGCGGGCTCACTGCACTATTGGTGGTTTGGGGCTGGTATTCATTGAGGTTGCGCAGGAAATTTCGACACCCCGCCTTTAGAGAAGGGCTTGCTTGACACTTCTAAGGCGCACATAGAAGAGGGTTCACAAGGCAACCCGGCGAGACGCTCTCGGTTTGGTTTCAAGTTCGGCTCAGGCCCTGTCCCAGCCCAGCTTGTACATCTCCCGGGCAAGCTGCCGGTACGCGTTCACCTGCTAGTCACTCCTGACACCCTGGATGATTCTAAGACTGCAATTAACGCACATACCTGGGTGACCCTCCAATACGTGTCCATTGCCATAATAACTCACCTCGTCCGAGTCCTTGTGACAGCTCATGGCAAACACAAATGATCTGAGGCTTGGTGTGCGGAGTCCAGACCGTAGACGGCGCAAATCCAACGGGTTCCCTGGTTCTCGCATAGCTACCTGGAATTGCCAAACTAGAACCGTCTTTCTAACGCTGTGCACACTAACTTCATTTGGCGTGTCCCGGGTCTCAAAACTGCGAAGCTTTTGGTTGAACTAGTGCAGGCTTGTAGTCACCTACAAAGAGGCAGCTACGATTTATTTTACATTATTTTATTATTATTTTTCGAACGTGTTCACTTGGTGGATTGCTGTCATCGCCGGCTGGGCCCCCAGCCATCACCTGTGGGTTGGAGGACTTCATGCCTCAAGCTCTTGGGCAAAGCCACGAGCGTGGCCAAAATCAAATCGGACACTCTCCAGACGTGGAAATTCATCTTCGCCCCTCTGAAACTAATGTCAAAAGGGCCTCAAACTACGACACACAGCCATGTCTGTGACGCTGGCATTCAGTCAGCTTTGTGTACATTGTTACATGTTTCAGAAAAAGATCCACATCTGCAAGAGCTGGCGACACCGGCGCCAAATGCAGAGGTCTATGCGGCGCCTACGAGTTTGAAGGTGCTTAACTGCTCACGCAAAGCCTGCGTGGAGGCGGGTGGTTTGAAGTTTGAGCTTCCTGCCCCTCCTCAGCCTGGCACTCTCGAGCCACCGCCTTGGGCAAAGGCTAAAAATGAAGTTGTGGAAGTCGTTCTTCCGGCACACCTCTCCGAACTCAATGGCGGAGGCCACCATGCCTTCAGGCCTAAGCCGTCCCATGTCAGGCCCCATCTAGACCTTTCAAACTTTCGAGCATCAATCCGCGTGATCCTGAACCGATCGACTGCAGATCTAGACAGCTTGGATTTCCCAACTGGTGCTCGAGCACCCGGCGAATCTCCGTACTGAAAGAGGATTCGCTCCGAGAGGGAGCCGTGGTTCACACCTGCAGGCTCCCAGGCCCAAGGCTCTGTTTCAAGACCCAAGTGAGACTAGCAAACACGACAGCCACGCTGCCACCAACGATAAACAATCATGGGGCAACAACAGCCACCACCACAACCACAATCAACGACCCTACTACTAGTTGCTTCTGCTGCTACCGCTACTACTGCTATCTCCAGACCTACTACGTTTTCTTTTTTGCTACTGTTGCTGCTACTGCTGCGGCTGCTAACATCACCATCACCACTATCACCGACCACTACTAGTCGTGGACACCGCGACCGCAGGGCAAAAGCAAACGACCAACACGACTACAAGGACTACAACCAGTACCAGAGTAACCGGATGGGTAACTGCAACCACGAACACGCTAAGTACTCACAAGCACCTCGCGCACACGAAACACCTCCCCCATCTCTTGCTCTGCATCTCTCTGCCCTGGCCGATCCGCATGGACTTGTTCTGCTCCTTCAGCTTCAAGACCTTGCTTTCGCAACTGGAAGTCAGCGCGACATATGCAAGCAGAAGGTGCACGTGTCAAAGCAGAAGGGCCCGCCATGGGGCCTGCGTTTGCGAAATACCTGAAAAACTCAGAACAACACGCATCAGTACACCATTCTCATGTACTCTGGAAAAGGACATGTGACCCAAACCTCGAGAAAACAAAACAAAATCGACAAAGCCTCTCCCATCTAAACCGTGCTATATTGACCCATCCGCATAGCTGACATGCGGAGAAGTATTTTAGAGAAGCAGCCAAAGTACAACCAGCCTGAAGGCTTACACATATAGTCAACAACTGGAAAAGCTTCACATCAACACTGTCACTTTCAGTCTGGAGGCCATCAAGACTTACAACAGGCAGTCTCCTTGTTGCACTCGTTCGGCCGTGTACAAAAACACCATGGTTTTCATAGGGATGCCAGTTGGAGGGTGCCTGATTTGCACACATACCCCTTGAAGCACAAGGTCAGGGACTGTCAACAAGCCACCACTCGCTCGCGAGTCGCTCGCCGCTTTGGCACCGGGCCAAAGGCGTCAGCGCTTCTTCAATGGCCTCCCTGGCTTCATTCACGTCCTGACCCATGGGGCGCCCACCGCTCTCAAATGTAGCAAAATGGCACCTTTGTAAGTGGAACCAAAGACTAAAACCTGCGTAACCCTAGCTCATTGTATAATTTTGACCCACAGCCATATGATTTTTGAGAAAAGGCACCACTAACTAGTGGTCTGCTGAAAGATGTCCGTCGAAGGGGAAAGGGTCCAATGGTTCAACCTGCATTATTCAACCCGCAAGTCAGGTCGCATGTCGGCGCCCGAAAACGGCTGGCTCTATGAATGGCGACTGGCTATGTGGCGGATGCCAATTTGTCGTCCTCCTCTGACAGCTCATCAATGGTGTCGAAGGATTTACGGCCTCAGTGTGACTTTAGGATGAACCAAAAAAGGTGTCATACTCAGGTCTGGCAGATGATTTGCCGTCTAAGTTGTTCTCAAACATAGAGCTGTGCAAAGCAACCTTCAACATTGGCGAGCCATCCAGCGGGGTCCTTTCTCTTGAATCGTACCAGAACACATGCAGCGGAAAAGACCATTGTTTGAAAGGTAGATCGCAGCACTTCAATCTAACCCCGCCTTCCGTGAAATTCCCAGGGTTGACCCGGACCTGCGCCGGCTCCCATGTCCAACGTAAAAGCAACTTTGGAAGCTGCAACTCGGCAGCAAGCTGTGCCCAAATAGACTGATTCTGCAAAGGGGGGCTCTTTTTTGGATGGGTGTTATATAAAAGGGAAACCAAAAAGAAACCACCTGGAGGGGTCCCGGGAGACACCCTCTTGCAAGTTGCAGTCCAGTGCTGGCCTTGTCCACAAAATCTGCACATACCAATGCAACCTTCGGCGTGAAATGGATGTCTGCCACAATCGGAGTCTTGTAGCCTGGCAGTGATTGAGGGTTTGACTGGATCCAATAGGCCTCACCATCCCCGAGGGAATGTGTCAAATAGGAACCTCTGCAACTGGTCGATGCCCTTGTGGATTCCGCCAAACGGCAAGAAGGGTGATATACAGAGTTTTACACAACCTTCTTCACTATACACAAGCTCACAGCAAGCTGTGCGCCAGCCCAAGAGAATTGGGTTGACATCCTGCAACCAGGCCGGCATGACCATCCTCCAGCAGCTTGTTCTTGATGTGCTCGCAGGCTTTTGCTTCCTTCCTTGACTGGGCTTGAATTTAGGAAGCAGGGGCATGCACTTGTGCAAACGCATCTCGTCCAGGCCAGGCCCTGTATGGTTATTCTTACACCATCCACGTCTGGCCGCCCCACCAAGGCCCGCCAAACAGGCTATGGATCTAGCACAACGGGCACAACCCACACTGAGCTCGCTGCATGCCCTGCACGGTGACTCGAACCTCGGGGCAAAAAGAGACAACCACCACGGATTTCACGTGGTCAATGGCATGACCAGCTTCACCGGCAGGTGTACAAAAGGCATGAAGAAGATTGTCTAAGCTTTGCAATTCTGCCGCACTCGTTTTCTGATGTTGGAGCATGTCAATCATTGTCAATCTTCAAAAACGCCCGTCCCATGTTCCAGCAGCATCTCACTTCCCAGCCCTGACCAAACCGAGGCAACAGCAATATCGATGCCCATATCAGCACACTTCTTGACCTGAGCAGCGGAAGGAATTCTCCAAGCCACTTTATAGCTTCACAGAGTAACCGATGGCACGTAGCATGCAACACCACTTTCATCTGGCATCTGCGCCTGTGCAACGGTAGCATCGACGTCACTGGTGAGCGTTGTTGTCCTTGGCGAGCCAAGAACTGAAGACAGCATGGCTTCTCTCTGAACCGACACTTCTTGGCCGCAGCTTTCAGAAGGTGCAAATTCTGGCGAGGAGCATGGTCTGGGTGGCAATGGGGTGCTCGGAGCCCACCGGCACTTCCCCCACGTAGACCTTGGCCCAGTTATTCTAAATTCCAGTAGCAAGTCCCCAACAAGGTTTTGTTTTGATCTATCAGCAAGAAAAGAAACAGCCCTCCCCTCCAGACTGGGACTCCTGGGACCTGCGAAGAGCCTGAGGTGTCTAATTTGGGTTTAGCTAGCTGAAGGGGGCAGGTCGCCGAACAAAATTGGCTTTGCCGGCTGGGCCCCAATGCGGTGCGCGTCTTTCGACGCAAGCACTTTTCTGCGGCCTCGCAGTAGACGCCTGTCAGCTGTCAACCTTCATCACTTCTTGGGTGCTTGATATGTTTGTTGCCTTTGGTGGCCTTTTTGGTTTGTGTTGGAAGCGAAACACTGGCAAACAACCAAATGGAGGGGTCCCTCGCCTTTTTTTGGTAAACACCCCAAGTAAATCAGCTCATGTGTCTGTTTCCAGCCGGCAGATGGAACGTGTCAAAATAAATGAACCGGCATGACGCTTTTGACACAATCAATGGCAAGCACGCAGAAGCATCTTCAGTCGGCGCAGATGTTGTGACGTCCTCCAAAGCTCATTAGATCTTCAGCTGGCTGCAGTTTTGGGCGATCCGCATCTCAACTTGATTCAACTTGCCTATGGTCATTTGCCGTCTCCACACACTCGCACCAGCGCAAGCCCCTGCACACACACACACACTTTCATTTGGGATACTCCGAGACTTGCATGACTTTGTCATATGATAATTACCAAAGAGGGACCACAGTAGAATGGCTGCGTGGCTTGCCTTCAATGACAGTTTAAACCTCTGAAGACTTGCAGAAGGGAGCGGCTGCGCCCATCTCGCATTCCTGACAGCCTCCCTGCCTGCAGGCATTGCTTGGCGCGTGGAGACAAAGCGAACACCCTGGCAACGCGAGTCTTCTGAGGTGCCCGGCCGACAGACATGTATTCTTGAATTTTCAGTCGAGGAGTCGGCCGAGAGTTCATTCGAGACTTCAACTATTGGCCGCTTCCGCTGAACGCGCAAAATAGCATGGTCATATCTTTGACACATTGACGCCCTGCTAAAGCTGCGGAGAACAGACATGGGCCACGTGCCTTGACTCTGCAGTCAGCATAAGCAATACCCTTATAATGACGAAAACAACTGGCTCCTCAAAAAACAGGGCTTGGTCAACTCAGCAACGGTCACACTATCCTGGCTTCCTGATGCCAAGGTTGCAAGAAACTCGGTATCCAAACCGGAATCCATTCTGCTCTTCTGGCAGATTCCTGTGAATTGCCCGAGGTGGAAGCCCACTCCCTTCTGATCCTGCATTCGCCCTTTTTGCGGCCGGCCTTTCGCCCCGCCCTCGTTCTGCTCCCTCGGGATGCGGCGCCTCAGGCAGCGGGGAAACGGCCTAACACCGGCTGGCCGATCAAATGTCTTTCAAGCAAGCCACATTCGACAATTTGGGCTTTCTTGGACTTGATGACTCCTCACAGCAGGACTGCCATGGGTCAGCAAACATGAAAATGTCCAATGGCGAGTGTTCCCTTGACCCTTCGCTTTCTTCCACAGCGAGGTTGCAGCCGCCTACAGTCTGAGGGAACGGGGGGAATCCAATTCAACTCCCATGTGTCCAAAGGCAGATCCATTCCTTCACTTCCTTCTCTCAGTGTTTGACCCCCGAGCATCGCGAAGCTTCAAAGAACCCTCTTGGGCTCAGGCCCAGCGCAAGGCCAAGAGACCCGGCAGCGACCTCAAGGCAAACGCCTATATTTTTTCAGGGCTTTCAGCCGCCAGGGGCCCCAAGACCGCAACATGGCAGGTGTCAATTTGACAAAAAGGCGTCAAAAGGAACCCGCCGGCGCTGGTCCCAAACGAGATCCACTTAGGAATCACAACGGGCGAGGAAAACACTGGCGGCACTTGCGAGCCACACACACACACACAAAAAAAAACACTCGCACAATCTAGGGGTTGCCTCCAAATTGGACGAAAAACTGTTCCGAAATGCTGAACGGCGTTCGAAAGCGGTATTTTGGGCAGTTGCTCGTGTCGGAACCATCTGCCCTTGCGCCTTCCAGCTTTCATCCGCCGTCTCCAAAGCTAAGGCGAGTGCTGCCTTCAACGGTGCTTGGCTGCCATCAACTGGCGAGGCCTTGACCTCAAGCAAAGGCGAGTGATGAACGATATCGCAGCAGCAACATCAGCTCAATAAGGGAAAGTGACAAACCGGCATGTCTGTTCACGCGTCAAGAACCAATTGCCAATTGACAAAAAGGCTCTTAGCATGGGAAGATGGGCCAACCGGTAAATTCGCATATGGACTCTCGCAGAGTGCATCAATTTCGGATTGACACCCAGAGTGGCAGTGACCCTGGGGCTTCGGCCCGTGCAGCTCGCTCCGGTGCCACCTTGGCCGCAGTCTTGATCCGGCTCCATGTTTCTAACAAGAGCACGATACCCAGACTTCGCTGGCACAAATTGCACCATCGGATCCTCCATGGCACTGTGAAGTGAGAACTTCTGTTATATATATATATATTTATTTATTTATTTATTTATATAGCCGGCCTGCTGGCCTGCATGAAAACGCGCAAGGAAAAAGCTTCGACAACACCGTGAAACTCAATGAGCTTAATCCCAGCATCCCATCGAAGCTGGCGAACCTGAAGCTGCAAGCCCGTGATTTCAAAAGCCAAAGGCCACCAGGCACCATCAAACCTTCGATGGATTCTGGTCTAAGGCTAACTGTGGATGGACGAAATCCAGTTCGCCCCAGGTGGTTTACCCCAGTATTTATAGGATCTCATTCATCCCAACTAGTGGAATTTGCTCCATCCACAGCTGGACACAAGCCAAAGAGAGCGCTGCTGAGCGCTGCCAACCTGCCCCGAGCCCTGAGACGCCAACCACAGGGCGCACTGCCCCGGGAGCCACAAAGGCTGGTGCCTCGTTACTTGTCGGCGATGCGTAGCAGAAATGCGGAGATCCCAGAACTGCCCGAAACTGAGCAGGCGCTCCCGATTTCCTCGAAACGCGCCTTGTCAGCATCCAGGAAACGGGGGCTGAGTTCAAATGATCCGGCTTGAGGGACGTCGCCATGGGCTAAACTCGTTGACGCCTTTGCATGTGCTCACAAAGTACAAAGTGGGTATGTATCTTGATTGGGGAGCCTCTGGACATCATTTAGGTGGCGATTTCTGTCCACCAGCCACTTTTCAGGGGGTCCCTATCTAACTTCATAGCAAGGTATCAACCCGAGCGATAGCGGAACGTGCAACTAAGAAGGCTGCCGACAGCGCCATGTGAGGTCTCCTGAACGGCAAGCGAGCCACTACTAGGGGATCCAAGAAACCCCCGACACACGTGGATCGTGGCCCCAGAAATACATCCGATGCGTCATTAATAAATCATCAGAAGGAGCAGCGGTTGCAAGCAGTTCATCGTAAACAGCTAGTTGCTCCAACACTCAGCACTCATGGACTTATGGAGCCTTCCCCACGTGTGGGTGCTTTGGTGTGGTGGTGTGGAGTAGCTGAGTTCACGCATCCACACGCGCAGAACCAGCTGCAAGCAACCTGCCTATCAAAACTCGTCAGTCCCCTCCGTCTGTGCCAGAGCCAGAACGGCCAACCGCTTCGATCGAGGTGTTGCACAAGCTGAAAGCTGAACCAGAAGAAAGCAGGACATCAAGTTGTCAAACTTGATCAAACGACCCTCTGAACCCTTGCTTGAACACTAGTTCAAAACCCCCACCTCCGGGCGGGTCCTGAGACCTTCGTTTGTGCAAGCAGCAGTGCTTCCGACCAACATCCAACAACCTTTCTGAAGTGGGTCTGATTGCGGGTTGTTCAAAGACCTCCACTAGCAGTAAAACCAAACCTGCTTCGCCTGCCTAGGAGGTCATGCAAACTGTCGAATTTCCGTATTGCTGTTGACAGCCTCGTAGGTTTGACTGTTTGTCCTGGCTCTCTCTGAGCCAAGGAACAAGGCTCGAATTTTTGCCAATAGCTCTGCACATCTTTCGTGATTTGCCTCGCATTCTGTGCGTAATGGTCTGATGGGTGAAACCGCTCACCAGGAACAGGGCAACAAACCTAACGAGCAACACCAAGCAACCAACTTAATTACAAACGCACATGGCAAACACGGGGGGCGTTGGTGCTCCATGCAGTTGGAGGTTTGTTTGTTGCCAACTGCCCTTAGGCACCAATGGTCTGGCGGAGCCGTCTCAAGCCGCCGCTGACCTGAGCCGTGCAATGTGACCCGTGTCTCCCAGAACAGCAGAGGTGGACCTGAACAACCAGAAAGCCAAAGGCAACTAAGGCTGCGATCTGGAGGGAGCCCGATGCCTTTAGCAAGACATGAAAGCAGCTGCCCCTTCGATCAGTATAGTTGCCCACAAAAGCAGCAGAAACCAAGACGGATAGGTGTCTATAGCCGATGATTGTATGTGAGCTTGTCTGGGATTTGTCAGTGTGAAACTGGGAAAGAGGCAATCAACCGATTTGTCGTCACTCTGGTCAGCTCCTGAACCTGTTTCATTTCATCGAGGAGTGCCCCTGCTTGCAAGCACTCCCGTCTGGGAAATGTCTGGAGTCTGCCTTCGCAAAATCTGAGCTTGCTACATGTCAGCTTCAAGACGTCCCATGTAAAACTGTATGTCTCCTGTTGCACTCCATCGAAATCAGTGGACATTAGAAAGGCTTCTCATGGTCCGGTCCTTTTCTGTGCCCCCGCGCTAGGCTGGCAGGAGGCCTCGGTTGAACCAAAGAGGGACATCTGTCACCAACTCCTTGTATCTAAGGAGATGCACCGACTCGGCTGAAAGGAACCAACTCGGCTGTTCTGCAGGTAACGAGCTCAATGTGCCACGGTTTCCGATGGCTTCTGTGACAGTGTGAAGGTTCATGGACCTTGATTCAATACCAGCCCTGCAAAGTGCTTGCACAAATGGCAAACTCAGAAAACAACCAGAAAAAGAAGAGTGTGCAAACAAGCAAATACAAACACGCACAAAGTAATCACATCCAAATAGAGTAGCCAGGGAAGAGAAAGAAGGCAGGGACCATGCCCAGTGCAAGCAGGCCGCCGCGCTTGCTTTTTCACACATCCTCTCGCTCGCTTTTCCTGCAATGCAGGTAGCAGCAAATGCAAAGCAGCAGGCAGAGACTCGCCATCACTATGCGCAGCCACCACCAGCCTGCCTCAGCTTTGTCTGAGTCTTGGTGGTTTCTGGTGGTTTGATTGCTGGTGGTTTCGGAGGCAGATGGGAGTCATGGCAACACCCAGGGTTGCTGAGCTCATCCTCCTCCACACACACACACAGCCACCCATCCAAGCCAACCCGTGCCTGCGGTTGGTAACAAGCGGGACACTTAAATTCGGGACTTGTAAAGCACGGCAAAGGACTCTTCCAGCAAAATCGCATGAGAGATATTGCGCAAGAAGAGGCTGCCGGCTTTTACCGAGAGATCCGAGACAGTGAGATATCACCAAGCGATCGCACGAGAGACTGCGCAAAGAGATTTCTCCGAAAAATTGCTCAAAGAGATTGCTCAAAGATGTCACGGAGAGACCGAGGACTGCGCGACTGGCCGACCACAGTTTGCAAAAATGCTACTTTCTCCCAGATTCTGCGCGGCGATCTTCAATGACTGGGACATGCTACTGTTTCACGACCTCGCGCGACCCTCTGCCTGTGTGGATGCGCAAAGCGCTGGACGGGAATGTTCAGGTTTTCGGGATTTGCGGGGACTCCCTCTTTTTGACGTTTTGAGGACGCTGGCATCAGTTTTATGCACGGATCTGTCTCGCAGTTTGCTTTGATTTCTTACATCGTGGCCCAGTTTGGGTCGGTTTGGGTCTGGGTGTGGGATGTGTGGTGGGTTGCCGGTGTGGGTGTGGGTGTGGGTGTGGGTGTGAGGGGTGGGGGTGGGGGTGGGGGTGGGGGTGGGTGTGTGTGTGTGTGTGTGGGTGGGGGGGGGGCTGAGGGGGGTTCTCCCTCGCCTTAGCTTGGATTAGGGATAGGATTAGGGTCGGATTTGGGTTGGCTTAGAGGGTCGGGGGGCGCTGGGTAGAAAACCATGGTTCAAAAGCTGCAAGAAACCCAATGCTGCCAACACAAAAAGCTTCAAATGCCAAACATGTGGCAAAAGAAGAAAAAAAGCCTCGGCTGTAGGTAAATCATTCATCCCCCAAATGAAGCTCACTTCAATCTGGCAAAGCTGAAGCGTAGCACTGCTGTTTGATCAGTTGAACGTTTCCAGGATCTACCAGATCCACCCTGATCCCCGCCTCATCAAGACGGTTGAGAGTCAGCGCCAAGGGGTAGACTCGGCTGATGGCCAGGAAGTCGCTGCTCACCGCGTTGAGCGGCCTGCGGAGCGGGTTTCCCCGCGCGCTGGCGTGCAGCACCAGGGGGTAGAGATCTGCCAGGAATGGCTCCAGGAAGTTCAGGTTGGACCTGAAACCGATGGAGGGCTGAAAATTTCAGCCAACTCCCCGGCTTGGAACCTCATCAGAAACGCAATGCCATGGTTGCTACGCGGAAACTGCTCCAAATGGCCTAGAGGCGTTGACAAAGCAAACTGGCTGCGAAGAGTCATAGGATTCCCCCTCGCCCCCCGCAAAGTGGTTTGTCTCGAAAAGAAAGCTGCCATGCGAATGTCCAAAGTACATCTGACACAATGCCGAAGGGGCTTCCGCGTGTGAAAGGCTTACCTTCAGGTTTCTGCCCCCTTCTTTCCATCTTCCTGGGGACTATCGCGTCATCATCCTTGTCATCATCATCGTCAGCATTTCGGGAAGGCACACCACCTTCTGGGCCTTCCCTTTGGATCAAACAAGCCCCTTTTTTGAGTGGAACCCCTCATCGCCGCATGTGCAAAGAGGTCAGCCTGACGCCGATGCAGCCTGATTAGAGCGGACCGTTGACACTAGAGCCCAAACCTACCACTGGCCATGCCACTTTCCCTGCTTCTAAATAAAGCAACAGAGCATCAGAGAACAACGTCTCAAAGGCAAACAGAACGACACACAGGCTCGACAACATACGTGCGGATAAAAAATAACATATATAAAAAAGTGACGATGCAGGCAAGCGGATGCATCATAGAGACAAGAAACGCTACACAGACTTGCAAACATGAGCCATGCCACGACATGCCATGCAAACACCATTAAAACCAGTTGCTCCTGGACTCCCAAGCAAGAAGCGGGGATGGATCGATAGGAATCCAGTTGTTCGGACTCAGGGCTGCACACCCAGAAAAAACAGTTCGTCAGACACATACGACACACATGCCAAGGAACTGGGAGCCCTTCCCAGAGTTGATGCTCTCGTACATCTTCGCCTCTGCATTGTTGGGGTTGGCCTGCATCACATAGAACCGCCCGCTTGGGGCCGTCATCCAGTCAGAGACCAACCAGGCACTCGCATCTGCTAAGTTCCCTGAGGTCATGTCTGGGGACCAGTTCTCTGCGAGCCAGTCGCTGGAGATGGTGAACTCTGAGGATGCGGGCAGGAACACCTGAAGTTTCCCTGAACGTCAGACTCGCGCACTGATCAAACACATTGAGGTTTCATTAGTTTCCATGTGCAACAAAGTGTTTGGGCGCCGCTGAACCTTTGAAACCAACAAAAGACTAGCAACCCGCCAAACATCACTGCCCTCCCAAACTTTCGGACCCCGTGTCTGTCAGGGTGCTGCAACACGCTTCCCAGCGGCCACCAAGTCTCCAATGCTTTTGGTGAAGAGATCCTGCTTGCTGATCAGCATTGGTTGGCCTGCGACAATCAAACAAACGCCACGCAATCAGGAGGGATCAAACTTGGACCAGTCATCTCTTTGGAACATCTTCAAGACCCTGCTCATGAGGGAGCCGTGGTGATGTTAAATTCGTCCGTCTCACAGACCTGCCTGTCGCTTTTGTGAGCATGTGCCCTACCTCATTGAGTCCATCAGATTGCGCGCCTTCTGAGTTCGGACAGTGAATACCCGTCGGGCCAGTGAACATCCCAATCCCCACTAAAATAGACTAAAATGGGTGGTGCACCTACCCCAAAATGGTACCATTGGTTTTGAACCATGGCCATCTTCACTTTTCAAACACGTGACTTGAGGCGGCCCCTTGCGCTTGCGCGCGGCCTATGGCCAGCTCCAAAGCTTCAGCCAGTGCCAGCGCGTCGCTGGGGGGGAAGACCTTGGACGCATTGTTGTGCAGGTTGTTGAAACCCAGCACCACCTGGGTGGATTGCTTCAGGCGATCTTCCTTTATCAATGGAAATTCGAAAGAGAGCGCTATGAGGCACTATGAATGGCATGTCTAGAGTTAATCATCGCGTGCCAAAAGAGCTCAGCATTAACTGAGACGGCTCTCGGAAGAGTCCGAGCCTGGCATAAAGCAAACGGCACGCAATGTACGCAGTAGTATACTGGTCAACTTGCCCTTCTGCAACATGTTCATTCTCATTAGACACCAGTTGTTGAAGATCCTCAATCAGTTGTTCTTGGCAATGTGGGAACAATGAAAGGCTCTGTCAGCTTGACGAGCAATGAGTCTGGAGCCACAACAGTGAAATCAAAGTCTGGATTTTCTGAACAAGAGGCGTATTTTTATTTGTCAACCCCTGATCAGTTTTCTTGTAAGGCTGTTTCTTGCCAAGTTCCATTGTTTCGCAAGGAATGCGGGAACAGCATGTGGTCACCATCCCCAAACCCCCTTTGCGGCGGCGCTGGGCAAGACCTGGCAACCCAGCGGCCAGCTCTCTCGGACGGTCACGAAGAAAGGCTTTGAGCTCTTCGAGGGTTGACGCAACCTGGAGGCCAAGACCCGAATTCGAGGCGGATGAATGCTCATTCGGCTGAAGCCCCAGAGAAGAGAACGGCATTCACGTCTCGATGCCTCGCTCTTCCCCAGCGTGGAAAAAAAGATGCGTCCTTCTGCCAAGGAACCGTCTCGCGAGTCGTGTATCCTCTATGTTGAAAACGCACAGCAGCCAAATCCATCGAGCCTGGGGCAACACATGCCCTCATCACTCAAACTCACTTGCACAGCAAGCACAGCCCGCATGCCAAAAGAACACGCACTATCCACTGTTGCTGCAGCCCAAAGCATGCTTTTAGCGACAGCATGCGCTCATGCTGTTCTAGCGCGGGTTCCATACGGCGAGTCCAAAAAGCGCATCTGTTGGTACTAGTTCTTGTTGTGCAGCCTGCCTCTTGGACATTTGGCACGGGCACCCAAATCACAAGCATGAAGCATCGCATACCACCAAACTTGTGCTCTGGAATGTCTAAGTATCAGAATCTCAGCCTTCAGCACGGATCAAGTGGACCCGCACGCATTGTGAGGGGGCTCCAGTGCGTGACTTACATGTCAATGGTGAAGAAAGGTGTATACGTATATACATATATGATGCATATTCATATTCATATAGATATACAGACACACGTGCCTCTGGTGCTTTATCATATGCAAAAGGGAATGTGAATGCATTAAGGATGGAACCTGGCAGGTTGAAGTTGCAGATCTTCAGGTGAAGAAATCGCACACCCTGCTCCAGCTGAGCTCTGATGGGGTGAAAGTGGTTGATTTGCCACGGAATCATTCCTGAGATCAACTGGCCGCATGCATCACAAAGGACGAACAAGCATATGCAGTGCAGACTTTGCTGTCATGTTGTCCGACATCTCACTCTTCAGGCATTGCGGACTTGGGACGAGGCGCTCTGATCAAACTGCTGTTGGTTCAGGATCGTCCCTCCCGTCGCTTGCAGCGCACGGGTGCTTGCACTTGCCAGATACTCCTGGTATCTGTAGTCGCTGTGGCACAGCCTGTGCAGCTTTCCCGAAAAAGAGTGACAGCATCTGCACAAAACCGATGCCTACGCGGCTTCAGGCCATCCCCAGACTTTTTGCCAGGCAGCGCATCCGCGTGTAAACCCCCCTGGTAGTTGCCGCTGTTGTGGGAACCCGGCAGAGTGATCTCCAGAAGAGACCTGCGCTCAAGAGCCCCGAAGTTCTCCGCCATCCAATCTTCCGGCGAAGCCCCCGAAAGAAGCGGCAGGACCCCGACCCAGGCGCGCCGAAGCCCCATGGCGGGCTTCGGAAAGGGACAACCCTGACCCCAAACTTTTGACGAAAGTGGCTCCAAAAGCCATATCAACATATATGTGTTGTCTTTTGAATTCAACTTCAACTCCAAACATGATGCCACCGTGATGAAACCCTTTCAGATGCCCTCCATTCAAACTCCATTCGGAGGCTCAGGTCGTCTGCCAGCACAAGCAGTCTGAGGGCATGCAGCTGTAATTGCCATCCTCATGTCTTTCATGTTCTTGAGCTGAGCAGCGGAGACACATACGTGCTTCTACGTCTGCAGCATGGAAAAAGCCGAGCAGATTGCATGGCTGGATGAAGCTGGCAACATCAATGTGTCACGATGATATAAAGTTGGGCATCCGGCTTCTGCCCTGGAGATTAATAGGATAAAATTAAACATGCAGAGGTCCGGTCACTTTTCAAGCATCAAAGTGGGGCGACGCTCCAGGCATGCGGCTCTGTACTACTCGCGTTCCGCACCGCCGCGTCGTAGTGCCGCAGGAGGTTGCTGGTGCCTCGCTTGGGGACGAGGTCCATGAATCCCTTTTCCAAGAATGAAATCTGCCTCCTGCAAAAGAATCAAATTGACGATGCATCGACGTGCCCCCACCCCAACTCCGCTTGTCGGCCCGAGGGGCGACCGTTGACGCTGGCGTTGGTCCGCTCTAAGGAGATGATGTGGTCGGAGAGCCGCTGCCGCTCGACCCAAAAAGCCTCAAAAGAAAAGCGCCGCGGCGAACGGCTTGCCCAGGGTAGGCGGGTGCTGAGAAATACTGTGGAGGGTGCGAAGTTCCAAGGCCAGCCTTTCCAAACCTAAACTAATCAACCGACCCAACTGAGCAACTAAGCGACAACTGGCCAAGCAGGAAACCAACCCAACCTGACCCAACCCAAGCACAAAAATTGGTCGCCCAACCTCCTGCCCGTTGACCCCAGCCTCCTCGCGCTCTGCGAGCAACTGCTGCAGCCGCAGCGCCAGCGCAGCCGCATCGGCCTGCCAAGATCCCTTTTTGGCTCAGCTGTGGTCCAGCTCGTCCAAGAGCATTGCTTTAGGAAGCGAAAGCGTCTCCAAATGGACGCTGAGCAATTGTGCGACAATCTCCCTTCAAAAGTTGTTGCGTCTTGTGGGGCCGACATCATGAATCATTGCCTCCCCAATGTCCCACAATGACATTCTTCCTTTTTGCCCCTTTACCATGCACTGTTCTCGGAGTCACTGCCCCAACCCCTCGGTGCTTCCTGAACTTGGGGAACACCTCGTTCCAACCTTGTGCGATCGGCTCGCTCTAGTGGTTCTAGACCAAGTGGGCAACCCCACCGGGTAAAGCAATGGTCCAGAACGTCCACCTCGGCCCCAGTCCCTCTGCCTTGACACTGCCCGCTTGGCTGGTGAGCAAAAGCTGGCCGCGTACCTGATGCACCGCGCCCACAGAGATCGTTCAGCACTCAAAACAGAGCGCCTGTTGGTAAACCATCCTTGACTCATGAACTGTAGTGATGCATGTTCATGGCATGAACAAATGAACTTTGGCCTGCCTTGATATCCCTGCTTTGAAAGAAAAAAGAGTAGAGATCGCTTCATGGCTCTCTCTCTCTCCCTCTCTCCCTATCTCTGTATATGTGTATTGTGTGTCTTTGTTTCTTTAATTATTTGATTGTTGTTTCTTTGTTTCTGTGTTTATTTGTTTCTTTGATTATTTGATTCCGTGTGTCTTTGTTGATTTGCTTCATTGCTTCATTGTTTTTTTGCTTGTTTATTTTGTTTCTTTGATTGTTTGTGTTGTTTCTGTGTTTCTTTGTTTCTTTCATTCTTTCATTATGTCTGTCTTTCCGTATTTCCGTATTTCCTTCTTTCCTTCCTTCCTTCCTTCCTTCCTTCCTTCCGTCCTTCTGTCCTTCTGTCCTTCTGTCCTTCTGTCGTTTTTTCTTTATGCCGTTATTTATTTATTTCTTTCTTTCTTTCTTTATTTCTTTCTTTTTTTTTCTTTCCTTCCTTCCTTCCTTCTTTCTTTCATTCCTTACTTCCCTTTTTCTGTTGTTCTCTTTTTCTCTCCCTCTCTTTCCAATATAGCAATAATTAAGGCTTGATCTATAGCACTAAGGCTTGATCGGGTACACGGTACACCCTCCAAACGTGATCGACATGGATACCCATGTACATGCTGTCCCCCACCAAACAGCGCCCGATTCGATTGGACTTGACACTCATACTTTGAAATCCACAGCATGGAACCACACATGTTTTTGTTGCATACTCCATTAAATATACAAAGCAACCTGGGAGAAGCTGAATCTAAGTTGCTGGCATGAGCTAATCAGTGGTGTCAATTTCGACCAACCCATAAGCATGCAGGGCTATCAATTTGTTCTTCGACGAATACCTCGGGACCTGGGGCCTTGAAAGGCGCCGAACCGCTGCCTCCGTTTCAAGGCGACACGTCGACGACACGGACACAATCTGAGGGAAGTGCCAGGCGGCCGATCTCATCACGGATGGCCTGGTCCTCTTCCCCGTCAAGCACGGAGACCTCTCTGCTGCCCCATGAGAGCCACGCCTCTGTACGCAGTTGCCTTGTCATTCTGTGTCTGCTGTTTCTCTGCACATTCCCAGAAATGTTGTGACGTTTTATTCGGTCGCCTGCTGCAAACGCACGATCAGAACCTGGTGCAGGTTCATGACACGACATTCTTGCTTCCCAGCCTGCTCAAGAGCTCCGGTGAAGGGGCCCTCAAACACAGAGGCGCAAAAACATGGGGCATGCGAGAAGAAGCATCTTTATTCTAAACAAAAGCGCAACTGGGATGTTTCAGAGACAAAGCCATACTCAGAGTCTGAATGATGCCGAAAACCACATGAGCCACGGTGAAAACGAGCTGTCCCCGATGACAAGGTGTGGCTTGTGTGGTAAACCAGATTGACCATGACTGCAGCCAGTGTTGATCAAACCTCGTTTTTCCGGACAAATTTACTTCGAGTGGCCACATCTTTGAGGCAGTGGATTCGTCTCCCCGCCTCTCCATCAGAGCCGAGGACCTGAATGGGTGCCGTTTGGGTCATTTGCAAACACCCTAAGCTAAACCCAGCCCAACGTCAGGCTGTATTGGTTCACTCACTGAATAGATGCTCTAAGTGGCAACAAACAGGCAGTGGTGAAACCCAGAGCCGCTAAAATCCGTACGACCTCTTGCAATTCCTCACATCACAGTCGGCAATCTTACGCATTCGCGGAGACCAGACTTGACACAGGGTCATTCAAGTTTGAGCCGCTCAAGGCTCATCACATTCCTTCGGCCAATAGAAGCCATAGAAGCCAAAGACCCCCGTCCCAATCTCAGTAGAACCTATTCCATCCTATTCCCCCTTCTGAATTCGCTGCAGTTGTAGGCAGCGCAGCACCTCCCACGGCTCCCGGCTCGCGGCTCGCGGCTCGCTGGGGCAGCGGCTTGCTGGCACAGGGCATCATTGGTGCGGCGCAAGCGCTCCACCTCTGCGCCTCGGCGAAGTAGCTAAGTAGCTTGTGGAACATGGCGCGTCAATACCCTGCCAGTTGGGAACCCGGCAAGATAACATCATGATCTTATATCTATACATACATACACATACCCTCTTTGGCAGAGTCTGAAAAGCTCACCAAACATCGAATGACAAGGAAAAGGAATGGAAACGATCAGTCAAGGGGTCACGTGATATGTTGTTCCTAGGTCTTGCAGAGGCAGCATCCCCAGCACACCAGCATCATTTGGACCAGTCGGATGTGAGACTTCAGACCAGCCAGCTAACCAACGAACTCAGCCAGCCGCCCTAAGAAAAAGACATAGCGTCCCTGGAGATTGCTCATGTTGCAAAATAAATGAAGAAACCTGAAATGCTCTGCAACATGCAAAGGCCTCTCCAACCAAACGCCCTGCTGTGTGGGAAACACGCCTGAGGCCGGTGCTCAAGGTCTGCTGGGCCGCATCCAGTTGTATGCACTGCTCCTTGCTCACGTGAGCCATGGAGCGCACTCGGCATGATGTGGCGGTGGTCTGATGCTTCCAGAGCCAAGGCCCAACCGAAGGTCTTGGGTATAACGGCCAGTCCGAGGATACCCTCGTGCCTCCAGCTCGCTGTGCCTCGCCACTCGCTCCTCCGCCTTCTCAACCTCTGATGCGCGCTTGGGCTAGGCCACTATGCCGGGCTTGGCACCTTCCACCCTGGTTTAAACTTCGCATGAGTCACAAATTAAAACTGAAACGATGAAGGCCAGAGCGGCACTCTTACTTAGGAAGAGGATTCCAGACCCATGAGCAATTACATTGGACGAGTTGACCAGAGCTTACCCAGATCATCTGGCCTAGTGCTGTTATTGTCTCAGGGTCTGTGCACATCCACCCTTGGATCGTGACTATCAGGGCACTCTCCTTCGAAAGACATGGAACCCAACATTGTGGATCCCTTGAAGACGGCAAGTAGGGCACTGGGTTGGGCCAGCCTCATGCTTACAAGCGTTCGCTAGAGGCCTCGCCTAGTGCAGTGTTGCTTGAAACGTCTAAGTGAACGCTTAAAACCCAAACCGTTCCCTTTTTTGTACCCCTTTGTAAATGTCCCGTTGAAAATGCTGCCACTGTGCCTGTTTAAGCATGCGACCAGAAAGAAACACAACCACAAAGGCTGCGGGCTCCTTGAAAAAGGAATATCACGTGTCCCTCTCCACGGAATAAGAGATGCTCCTCCAACGGGGTATCATTCAGGGACTCCCTGCTTTGGAAGCCCCCGGGATTGACCAAAAAAAGCAATGCGATTCCCACCAAAAAACCCAGTGAAAAGCCGGCTCGCCTCGTCCGCCAGCTGCGCTGCCGTGGCCAACAGCTGCCTACCAAACAGCACGCCCCAAAACCCGAAAAAGAAGACAACAGAAGAAAACCAACGAAAATGAAGCTAAACCCTACCCAAAACAATGGCCGCAGTGTTAACCTTCAAGCTCGAAACCCCGAAACCCTCAACGGTTGGAAGGCAAAACCCCGCTCTGCACGTGCGCGCACTGCCGGACTGGGCGGGGCAACATCCGGAGGTGACTAGATCACTCGCAACGCAGACTCGTGCTGGACTTTGGTCTCCCCCCCCGGATACCCCAGAACTTGAATTGAACAGCTCTCAGAACGCTCCAGATTTGATCTCGGAGTAAATCTAAGTACAGTTTGGCGTGCTTTTTCTGCACAGACTCCAACCAAACGGAGCTGTCCGGAGATGGGCGATGCAAATAGCTGCATGGGGTGCTGCGCGGATGCAAAATGTGACATCCTGTCATAACAGTCACAAGCCTCGTGTTGGAAAAGTGGGCCTTGGTTGCCCGTCCCAACAGGCAACCAATTGTTTGAAGCCGCTAGCTGGCGCCTCCTATCCTCTGCCGCCAGCTTCTCCTCGGCAGTGAGGTCCTCCACCTAAGTGGTGACGGCCAATTGCAGGGTGCCAGTTGCTCACTTGCCAATGGCAATGGCTCAAGGAACCGGTATGGATCGTTCCGCGGTGATCCGGACGGCTGGATCGGTCTGGATCACCTGCATGTTGGTCTGGATCGGGGGTCTGGATCGCTTGTGTGCCGGGATTTGAGCCGCAGCCATATAAAGGGTTGCTGTGCACAGTAATGAAATAGAAGTGAAAGATGAGAGGTATGTACTACGCGTAGATAGACGCTGACATGTCGGTCTGTGTGTTTTGATAGACCATTTCATGTGGTCGACAATCGCGCCTCTGACTGGAACAACCTGCATTAGACAGGATCTCTTGTTCATTCCAAATAATTCGAGCACAAATTACGCAGCTGCATGGCCATGAGTCATGAAACCTCTTGCAGGTCAAGCCTTCTGGCAACCCTACCCTCTGTACTAAGACCCAACACCACCTCTAAGCTTGCCTGCAATCGCAACTCTTCAAGCCCCAAAAGCGCCTCTCATCTCCTACTTTCCGAGCCAGCAGCCCGCCGCAGAAGCTGCTCGCTCTGCGAAACGATCACCTTGGCACTCTGAACAGACCTGGCCTTATGGCAACATGAACCAAATGTTTGCAATCTGTGACTGTCGTTGTGAATTGAAACATATTGAGGCAGGAAGAGCCTGGAACTTGCTCAAGGAATCCCATGCAAGGACATTCCTTGCGAACAAATGCAGGCAGTGAAATTGAGGAGTCAGAGTGGCAGTTCAAGACAGTGATTCGTGGGAAAACATCGACTGCGGGGGGGAATGGGCCCTTGGAAGGCTGATCCAGAACCCGATGGCCACATGCAACCGAGCTACCCTATCATATCCTATCATGTTACATGTTGTAGTCACCGACAAATGGTCAACGGCTGCAACCACCACACGAGTTGGTTGGTTCTGTTCCATTCTCTCTGACCCGCACCACGTGCCTCTCTCATGAGATCTTCCTCGCTGCGGAGGTCCACCGTTCCCTGGCAGGTCCCAACGGAGTGACTCGAACCCTTGAGTCCGACTTGAGTCCCATCTCAGAGCACTTCTGTCAGGTTCCAGACACCCTCGCAAGATGAGTAACTCAACGAAACTGCTCGCAAAGAAATCTGATAGACACCTTTGCGCAAGGAGAGACAGGCTCACTCAAAGAGGGAATCATGCACCCCTCCTCTTACCAGACTGCGGATGCTTCCCAGCCTTGCGCAGGGAGGCGATTTCACCCTCCACCTGGGCCTCAGTGCAAACGAAGTCACGTGGTGCTTCTTGTCAAAGCTAAATTGGCCGTGTCAAACCAAGGTCTTTTGAAGCCATCCCAGGGGCCCTGAGGCGGTTTCTTCAAAGCAACCAAGCTCCATGCTATGCGGTTCTCGAGCTGGTCGTTGACTGACTCGAGGGCCTTGCGACGAGAAACTCCAGTGAACAAGGCCAACCTCGGAGAGGGTGGCAAACTACGACCTTACATTGTCTCAACAAAAAAGCTCGTTCAGTCTCTCCAGCAACGGGTTTACCATGTTAACCGAGCAGTGATGAATGCACCATTCCATGTGTTACCCAGGCTTCCTAAGCTCAGCAACGATGGCCGGACATACACTATAGGTCGACTGAAGACTCTGGCTTCCATGTTGGCCAACTCTGCCGGACTCTGGTGCATGTGTGTGTGTGTGTGGGTTTGCGTGCGTGTCTCAGATAAATGAAAGGCACATTGTGCTATGTGCCCTCATGCGCGTGCAGATTCACATTACCCTCAGGCATCCCTCTGATAATCGTACAGGTTCCGATTTAGTTTAATGCCAAACACCAGACAACAAGAGCAACCATTGTTCAAAGTATACAACATGTAACAACATACACAATGCAAATGCATGAATCACAAATGTACCATGTCTCTGGAAGTCTTCAGCCGCACTTTTCTTGACCTGTGCGCCTTAGTGTTTCGGGCCAACGGGTGCGCGACTGGGGAGCTCGAGTGAAACTCCGAGATGCAGGATGCTGTACAAACGAAAGCAATGTAAAGCGGATCTTCAGGAAATCAGTGCTACTCTAGCAAGTCTAGGGCTGTTCACCCGGGCAAGAGCTGGCAAGCGAAAGTCTCCCAGACTGGATGGTTTCTCACGCTACGAGAGTTAGCAAAAACGCAAAGGGGTCCTCACACACCAGTTTCAAAGAAAGCATCACATACCTGGTTCAAAGAAAGCATGCCCTTCAATTTACTTTCTGCGGTCTGCATGAAGGCTGTTCTCAAGTGCATGTCTATGCTACACATGCCCATATATATATATATATATACGTATATGTATTTGTATGTGTATACATGTGTGTATATATATATATATATAGATATACATATGTTTCCGCGCCCACGGAGTGCTCAGGTATTGGCCTAGTTGCAGTGCAAGCCAAAGACACTGGAATCATCAAGGAAAGTGCAACAATTCCTGCACATTCATTCTTGCCATCCCTTGACAGAAGCAGGGAGTCTAATAGACAGAACCATTGCAAAGCTGCAATCGCAAAGATGCCACGCGTTCATCTCAACAACTTTGCACCAATGCCAAAGGTGCCACTGGAGCGCAATTTCCGGACGAAGATCCCCGCTAACTGATGCCCCCTCTTGCAAGATTCCTCAACATAGAAGCTTCCCGGGCAGACACCTCATATTTTTTTCTCGTGAGCCTCCCTACCAGCCTTTTCCTTGGTACGCGCAAGCAACTGACTTGTTTGGGGTCGTCGCTCGGGCGCGCCCAAGTGGCCCGAAACGCGGGCTGCGACACACCAGACCTTGAGGGTCCCAAGTCTTAAAGCTAACTAGTGTGCTTTCAAGCGCTTTAGCGTGTCTGGGCGTTCAGCACGATTGCACTGGCAAAACACTGGTAAAATACAATTCCCCTTGGCAAATTCATGCTTGGAAGATGCACCTTTGGTATTTTTCAAAATCCATGCTTAGGGCCATCTAGGACGTGCTAGCACATCCTGGATTGACGATTGAAGATTCCCTGAACAAAGTGTCCACTAAATCTTCAATCCAGTTCATGTTGGTGTGATGTGCTAGCACGTGCCAGCACATCCTGGATTGCCCTATTTGCACATTCTACAAAATTGTGTCTGAGATTCTTCCATCTTCAGTTCAAAGAGTGTGCTAGCACGTGCTCAAACATCCTGGTTTGCCCTAAGTAGGGAATTCTAAGTTAAAAAAATCATTTTCTGAGAATCGTCCATCTTCAATCTTCAACCCAGGATGCGCAAGCATGTGCTGCACATCCTGGATTGCACTAAGCAAAGGCTTTGAGAAAATACAGAAAAGGGTGCATCTTCCAAAGATCAATTTTCTGAAGGAAACCGTACGTTGTGCCTGCATGATACAAATAAAAATGTGACTTCGTAGGCCAACATCTATTCACTACTCCAGCGGGGCCCCATGCATATATGTATACATGTGTATACATATATATATATATATATACGCACATGTATACATACACATATGCTCATTCTATTAGCTGTTTTACAGGTGCGACCCGCTCAATATGGTTTGTATGTTCCAACTGAGCAGTGGCACCTGAATCAGCCCGCCTTCACGCGCTGAGAGGCGGCCTCCTGCGCGTCGCGCAGGACCTGGTGCGACGCAAAGTGGCCCGCGACAGGCGTCTTGAGAGAGGAAGAGAGAAACATCTATGGATGTAAGGCGTAGATGTTTACAATGTGAATACCTGTCTATATACATATATATATATATATATATCGTACAATGCAGAAAGAGACATAGACACGTTGGTGTTGTCTTTTTGTTGTTCAAATATGTGCAGTTTGCGAGTGCGTTCTGCCCAATGCGCATGTGCCCAGTGTGATATGGCCGCCATGCTGCGCTTCCAGCATGAGCTTCCAGCATGAGCTTCCAGCATGAGCTTCCAGCAAGCAGACAGCATGGGATTCGACCACTAGCTGCACCCTCGCACACCTAACCATCGAAGTCTGTTCCGTCTCAACGTAGACGTCCATGTCCATTGACTAATGCGATTTGTGCAGCATGTGGCGGTAGAATATCATTAATTGTGATGGGTTGTGTAGAATTCATTCATTGTGCTGGGTTGGACCAGGTGGCGTTCTACAATTGTTGGTTGTCCAGGTGTTGAAACCAACCCATATCTTCAACTACAAGTACCAACTTTCGGAGAGAGTCGTGGTTTCGTTTTGAGTGGGGTCGTTCCTCGTCCTGGGCGCCGGCCTGAATAAGGGCAACAAGAATTCAAGGAAACCCAGCCACTCCAACACGAAAGTGCTGTCCTCTAGCTCCCGCTTCGCCATGGAAAGGTCAGTGCCGCTGGAGAGTGCCTCGGCCGGAAGGCCCCGTTCCGCCAGAATTAGCCTTGAAACACGTTCGGCTTCCTTGGAAGGCCCCCCCTTCTTTGCTTGCTGGTGCTCGGCAGGGAGTGACGGAATGACCCTTATCATCCATCCCTTGTGGTTTCCTTTCAGGGAATCCCTGGCGTCATTCCCTCATTCCCTACTGAGCACCAGCAAGCTTTAGGGAAAGGCTTTCTCTGGCAAGGTAACCCTCGGTCAAAGTGCCAACCGAATCCGCTGCGAGGGCTGCACGTCGGCCAGGGCCAATCGCAGCTGGCGGGCCTCCTTGTCCACGGACCTGGGGCCGTTCCCAAAACACGCAAAAGCAAACCAAAAGAAAACGGGCAAATCTGCGATCAGGCCAACACAGGTTTGTGCATGTTGTGTTGCTTACAACTGTGGTCAGAAAGGCAAGATGTGTTGCTAGCTTCAACATGGCAATGTATCATTCATTCCAAAATAATACCCGTGGGTACACTGCTGAACCCTTGAGGCACGAGGATTGCCTTGCATCTCTCCCGTGAGGCGGCGACACCAAGGCCTCACGGTACCTCAGCCGGGCTGTGGCAACTGGATCAGCAGGATGGGTCTCCGGTCTTGCCGCGCATATTTTGACACAACCACATGTCAGCCCGAGTGATTGATGAAATATGCAAGGAGAGGATTCTGCTATCTACGTTTACGCCATGCTAACCTCAGGCACAACATGTAGAGTCAGTGGCCGAGAGATGAAAACCCACCACATTCAACCTGAGGGAATGCTTCCACTCTAGTAAAGCAGGTCTAGAGTCGAACTTGATGGTTCACAGAAAGCAAGCCGTCACAAAAAGAACGCCCGCCCTCCCAAACCAGGGGAACGTGGAGGCTGCTGGCTTTGGGGCCGCCCTGAGGCGCCAGCGACTTGGCCTCTTTCTCGCACCTCTGCACCTCCTCCACGGAAACCATACTTTGCAGGCCTTGGGCAACACTGCCAGCACCAAAACCGCCATCACTGGGCGAAGAATTCTGTGAAGCGAGCCTTGCCTTTTGGACACTCTTCGGAGAAGTTGAAGGTTCAATTGGTGCGAGTGGCGCAGCAATATCAGAGCCTCTAAGGGCATTGTACATCCGCGACTTGGCAGCCAGAGTGGTCAGAGTTCCTGTATTTGTTGATAGCCCCCGTCAGGTTCTGATTCGGGGCCGTCTCGTAGGGAGAATAATCTACTTTGACTGGGACAAATGCAACAATAGGCCCATTGCTGACTTCAGTCCGGCGTGTTGGTGCCATAGGTGTCCTTGTTTTGGTGGAAAAATAGATGGCCCTGGTTTACCTGTTGAATCGGCTACCAGGGCCATCTATTTGCCCTACAAACACACCTATAATTGACGCCCTGCAGATTCACCAGGCCCCAGGTCCGCTAGCTGCAAGAGCACCGGTCCACCGAGCACCAAACGCTGCTCCGCCGCCGCCGCAGCAGCCTGGCACCGCCGTGAGAATTTGCGCCCCTTTGGGCACCGCTTTGAGGATTTCGCTCATTTGGCTGTGGGTCGGAAAATAGGGTAACCCCAAAATTGCTTGCCCTGGTAAATGGTAACATGGACTAAAACCTGCGGTCCCCTGGTCATTTAATTATGACCCATACCCATTTCGAGCTAGCAGACTGGCCTGCCAACACTAATGCTTCCTGGCATGGGGACTTGGGCACCCATTTCCTGATGATGCACCTGCCTTCCCTGGAAGACTGCTGAAGAAAGCGCAACTCGGCGGGACAAAGAACACATGGTCACAGCCAACTTCATGCTTCACCCCGCAGAACCCTGGCTAACTCCAAAAAGCGAAGCGGCGAAACCGCTGAAAGATGCGCGCCTCAGCAGCTGCCACTGACTGCTGCTGCTTCTCCAGCCGGGCCTCCTGGCAACCGGCCGACAGCTGAGTGCATACCTGAGCAGCCCTTGAGTCGCCCGCTGAAGCTTTGGCCAAGACCTTCCTCAACCCACTTTGATTCAGAGAAATTGTAGCTGATGAACGCCCAGGTACAACACACCAAACATCCTGCCGCGTTGTGTCCATATCAACTCACACAACCAATCCCCTCCCCAGTTGAGAGCATTTTCCGAGAACACATCTTCGACATCTTGATTTCGGAATCGTGGTTTGTCATTCGATACTCTTGTCAAATGCAATGCTAAACTTTCTGACATTCGTCCATCGACCTCAGCTGTCATCCGCGAAGCATGAGTGTTGTCATGTTGGAATGCATCATCGCTGTCACCGAATCTTCCTTTGGCTTGGCCTGGAGCCAGAACAAACGCTGTTGAATCCGCCAAAGATCAGCTGCAACCGCATCCAACTGGCCAAACATGTGTTCCCATTTGAAAGACCACAAGTCCCACCTCCTCTCGGAGCTCTTCAGCCGCAGCCTTGGGCACAGCTCGTTACACCGGGAGTGGACGGCGACTTCCAGTGCGCGGAAGTCAACAGAAGTTCAGTCACCGGCCAAATCTGCGGTGTGTGCATCTGTCTGTGTAGCTGTGTCTGTCAGAATGAAAAGTCTGCAGGTTTGGCTCTCCTTTTGCTTTTGCTTTGAACCCAAAACCGACACATCGACATAGGGGGGCGTCTTTTTTTGGGTTGCCCCATGTTTGGTGGTTTGCAAGGGAAACCACAACTTCTTTCTTCGGGGGAATGGTGCACAAAAACACACACACACACACACACACACACACACACACACACACACACACACACACACACACACACACACACACACATACATCCATATGTGCCTGGGGCGCCGGGCATCGCCGCTCTCAGCGGCCTGGGCCGCCAGGCGTCGCGCCTGCGCCAGCTCCGCCTCCTGCTGCGCCAGGCCTTCGCTTGAACAGACATCTGGGGGGCGGAGACACGTCGGGTCGGCTTTTATATCGTGTATATATATATATATAGAAAAAAATATGCATATATATATATATATGTATGTATATTATATATATATATATATTAGACATTGGGTCTTTATGAGAACCAAAACCTGTTGCTTTTGTTAATACGAACCCTATTCGGCAAACACCTTTGGGTGTCGCTTTTTTGGATCTTTTAGATGTTTTTGGGCTCGAGCCTCACGCGGGTGGTCATGCTCGTCAGAAAAGGCGGCGCTTCACTGCCACGCAACACAAGCTGCCTTTCCAACATCTCAATCTGCACTCAGCTGCTTTCAGCTCGGCTCTGTCACACAACAGCAATCGACCGCAAGCTGGGCCCGCTAGCCGGACTCAATTTCTGTCTTCTCCTCCCTCAAGGATTCGAGCTTCGCCTGCCGCGTATAAGATCTCTCATTGCAAGGGAGATCCAAACGGGCCAAACTGCCAAATTGTTGGGAGGTGTCCTCATGATTGCTCCAATGGCATCCACTTGCAACTTTCGGGGCCGAGCATGTTGTACGACTTGGAGACGACACGTCAGTGCCAGATACCTTGACTAGGCAGCTGGACTTTGCAACAGCCTCATGCCAAGCTCCTGCCGCTTTGACTGAATAATAACACCTACCACCTGGAATCGAAGCCACGAAGCTCCAGTCCAACCCTGGGCTGTGACCTCCAGCTCGCGGTTCTTGTCCTCTGCATCCTGAGTGCCATCAGGTGTCAGGAGCATGCTGACAAGCTTGGAACCAGGCTTCCTGGCGATTTCGTTGCTTGACAAACACACACAAGTCTCGTCATTGTCTGCCGCTCAAGTCAGGGAGGTAGCAAGGAACCAGCGACCTACGCGAAACCCCGCCCTAGTCATACAGGAAACCACCCCGCATCCGGCAGCGAACCACCCACTTTCATGGGCCCCAGACCCTGGCGGCGCCGCCGCGCAGGAGGCGATCCCGCTCGCCTCGGACGCGCCAAGAGGTCGCAGAGGTCGGGTGTGATTGGAAGGATTCACCAAAGTCCAAAGACAACAACCAAGGGAGGTCCTAAGGACAACTACCTCAGGCCAAGTCAAAGGAACCAAAAGGCAGTAAAGAGGGATTTCAGTGGAGGGCGACCCAACCTAGATGAGCTTCCAGGCTCTTGGAAAGAACGAGCCCGTATCTGAAACAACAAATTTGACTCAGACAAAAAAGCAGTGGAGACGTGCACCAGAGAAGGAGCATACGTAGCACGGAACTCCAATTAAATCCCTACAGGCAACCAGCAGGGCTCAAAACGATGCAGCTGTGGCTCGAAAAAGGGTACCCAAAATGGCACCTTGGTAAATGGAACCCAAGACTAAAACCTGCGTAACCATGGCTCTTAAACTTTGAGCCACACCCACCTCTTGACAGCACCCTTTCTGCTCGTTGAACTGCACTTCTGTACACCTGAACATTGGCTGCTTGCAGACTGCAAGCCTCGTGCTATCTACAAGGCTGCAGCTTCGGCTGCTCAACATCCAACCTCTGTACAGTCACATAACTAAAAGCCAGGCACACTCGTAATTCCCCAACTATCAAGTTGATTCGATATCCGGCACTGCCATGGACCCTGGCAAGCCCCGTGAGACAACTAGAATTCTCGAAGTAGTTTGCGCAAGGTAGTAGGATGTATGCATGTATATGTAGGTGTGCATGTAAGTAGGTAACGTACTGTCATGTAATGTCATGGCATGTCTTGTAGTTCAAGGTAACTTAACGTAGTATAGTGTAATATAATGCTGAATAAATTGTAATACTGACATAATATGACTTAATATGATACAATATGATATAACGTGATATAATATGATATGATATGATATGATACAACATGGCGTGATGCAGTATAATATGGTGTAATGATATAATACACTAAAATATGTAATGTACCGTAATGTAACCGAATCTAATCTAATCTAGTGTAGTGTCATGTATGTATGCATGCATGTATGGTGTGGTGTGGTGCGGTGTGGTGCGGTGTGGTGCGGTGTGGTGTGGTGTGCTGTGGTGTGCAATGGAATGGTATGGCATGGCATGGTACGGTATGCTACGTACGTATGTATGCTTGCATGCATGCAGCTATGTATGTAGGTCTGTCTGTTTGTTCATATGTATGGATGCATGTCTGTATGTAATGTATGTGATGTCTGCAATGCATGTATGTATGTATTGTGTGTGTGATGTGTGTGATGTATGTAATGTAATGTGTTGCATGTATGTAGCTGTATGTATTATATGCCATGTATGTAATATAGTAACGCATGCATTGTATGTTAAGTAGTGTAATGGAATGTAATGCAATGTAATGCAATGCAATGCAATGTAATGTAATGGAATGCAGTGATTGTATGTATGGTATATGCCACATGCTATATGCCATATGCCATATGCTATATGCACAACATGCTACATGCTACATGCTATATGCTGTATGCTATATGCTATATGCTAGGCAATGCTATGTTGTGTTGTGTTATTCATGCAGGCAGGCATGCAGGCATGCATATATGTATAGGTGGTTATCTTGCGTTATTTTCCCAAGGAAGTTACCAAATCTACACAAAGACAACCGGATGTGTGATCACATCTCGAAGTGCTGCACAGCGCGTCGTGCTTGCGCTTGGCTGGTATGCGTCTAAGATCATGTTGCAGAACAAGCCCAGAGACCAGACAGTGCGACTTTCCAAAGCTCTTTGGCAACTGCTGAGGGTCAACCGGTGTCAAGAGACGAATGACTTTCCTCAGGGTCCATATTTCGCATATTTGTGGGTACAGGCGTAAACTCAGTGAAACAAGGATCTAGACAACTGCTGCATGCAGCCGCGCAAGTCCAGCCGCAATCACCTTCCCACGGGGCGAGAGCGGGGGAGTGAGGGTGCCAGAAACGTCAGGTGCTATCGATGTACTTGTTCAAAGCTTAAGAAAGGTCGCATGACTAGGGCCTTAAGTCAGGACATGATCCAGAAGTACTGATCCTCTTGGCTTCATGCCGTCAAGCCTTCTTACTTCCTGCTCGTATCTATGTATGCATGTGTGTGTGTGTGTCTTGCCGTGCTTTTGCAGGTCTGTGTGCATGCAAGCAAATGGCAACTGCAAACATGGGTGCTACGAAGGGTGTCTGGTACTGGTGTCTGTCCGTGCCAGCAGCTTTGGCCCAGCATTCAGCTTGCTGCGTGATGGTCGTATGACTAGAGGTACAAACATACTTGCACTTGGGACCCTTTGTTGCACATCATTTAGGTGGGGGTTCACAATGAGTTCATAATGTCCAAAAAACCATGTTGCAGGTGGTTCCCAATAACAATAATATTTATAATAGAAGTAATTTAAGTCGATTCCAGCGGTTGAACGGCCCACCATTGGAGCCGGCCTGCGGCACGCAGATCCTCCCTGGCGCCGCGGCTCTTTGCCTGTGCATCACATCCAAACAGACTGCCTTCCTTCGACTGTTGGTGGGCACGTTGGTTACCTGATGAAGCTGGTTCAGAAAACTCGGTGGCTCGCAAAGGAGAGTGCCAGCACAGTGTTCCTATCCTACTCGTCTTGTCTGGATTTCCTTCCATTTTGTCCCAGGCGCCACTCTGTTTATCAGGCTAGACCTGTGCATTCCACGACCAGCCGCAAAGGTGCAGCAAAATCAGCCCCTGGTCTCCTGGTCCAGCCTTCTCAGAGTTTGGATCGGAGTTTGGACAACCACCATGACCGAGCTCCCCCCCCCCCGCCCCTTTCGGGGCTTTTTTGGCCCACCGTTGGGCATTCCAAGCCCCCAACAAAGCCGCGCCTCGCTTCAGCACGTCACCAAGGCGCTGCAAGGCGCGCAGTTTGTCCAGGCCTACCGAAGCACCCCGCAAACGCGTCAATCGGTGACTGGCTGCGCTGAGGTGAAGCAGCGAAGCCATCAAAGGGTCCAAGAGTGAGACCGATCAGCTGGCACTCATGTCCACATCGAATGTCAAGGTTCAAAGAAAGCCAAACCAGGAACAAGCAAACAAACAAAAAGCAAACAAAGGAAACAAAAACAAACTCGTTAGAGAAGTGCCAACTTGTCTCTCTGTTGTTCTCCAAGGATACTATAGCAAGCACATTGATATATGCGCCCACACCTTCAACAAAAAGCTTTTGGCTGGTGCAAAGCAAATGCCTAGTCGCAATACTGCTTCTCGGCACGTGAGGCACAGCTTGGGGTTGGGGGTGTTCTATGCTATCCTGTGGTGGCCTACCATCACTTCCCTCTAGTGCGCAAAATGAGTTTCATCACGAGTTCTCTGTTCTGTGCACGCCGCTTCCATAGACGCCAGTCGTTTGCTTTAGTTTTCTGCACATTTGTATCATTTTGTGCGGAGATGTGCCGCGCGCATCCGCCCCAGAACCAAGTGTGGGCTGCGATGGCTATGCTGGGAAGCGGCTAAAGCACTCTCATTTGGAGTGCCATGGCCTCGACAGAAGTGATGCTGCTCTATTTGTGTGTGTGTGTCTGTTTGTTTGAGGGCACGCCTCTTTCGTGGCTGTTTGGGAAAATAGGAGAAAAAGAAGAAGAAAAAACGACTCCATTTTGGGGCGTCCCCGGATAAAAAGAAGACACACCCCTTCAGACATTGCCGGTGCCTGTCAGCTTCCGCTCCAGGCGCTCCGGCTTCCGGTTTTGCTCTGCAAGCTGTTCCGTGGGCGACAGAACCCAGGTGTCCTGCGGGCCCATGACTTGGTTCGAAAACCCATGACACCTAAACCATCCCCTATGACTTTCTTTAAGGGAATCCCAAACGGTTCATTCCCAAACCCGGGGCATATGATTGACCCGGCCTCGCACGCTGGTTTCGATCTGGGAAGGAGGGGATATGGGATAGCTCCATGATAGATCTGAAAGCTGGTTGCAATCCCCTTTTCAGATTGCCTCCGCACGTCTCGGAAAATCCGCCATTCATCATAAGCAGAAAACAAACTACCATGATGTTGCCTGCTCTCAAAGATTCCGACATGGAGGAACATCATGATGCACCGCTTTGTACAGTTTGCTCGTGTGCTTGGTAGATCCTTGGCGTGTTTGGTTTGGGATGAATGTGCCATCTGCAAGCAAGGCACTTCCCTGCAGCGGCGGCCCTTGATATAAATGGTCGCAGTCGGTGTCGGCCTTGCTCCATCCAGATTCGGCAGCACTGTGTGAGGCGTGCTCGCCGGGATGAAGTAAGTCGCGTTCTCCACGTGCGTGTTCAGATACCTCGGCTTAACCGCACCGAACAAGACAAGTGAGCAAGGCCTCGGCACACATCCACTATAATCCACTACAAAAACCAACGTTTCCTTGTGAAGGTGCATAACTGGCCTCATTGTTTTACCATGATCAAAGTCACCCCCTAAGTGGTGGGTTCAAGGGAAACAACCCGGTTTCTGGCTTTGATAACCCCCAAAATAACGACCCCAGCATCACCCTCAAGGAAACTCACAGAGCGCCAACTCGCGCGACCAATTTCGGCCGTATCGAGCTGCTTCACCGTCAGTTCGCCGGGCCTTCTTTCCAGTGAAGTAAGCTCGGGATCCTGCCGGTGCGAGCATGGGATCCTCAAGCTTGAGCCACGGAGAAACAGGCTGTGGACTCTGCAACCAGCCGAACGAGTGTGTTCGAAGCTGGGTAGAGTCCATACCACGCATACACGCGTCCAAATGTGGGATAGCTGTAGTTAATGGCTTTGTTTCGTTGTGAGCGCAGAGAGACCAAGCGATGAGTCAAGCTGCAGCAAATTCTGGGCCAAATGATGAGGGCTGAAAAGTGTCTCATTCAACTCCATTAATTCGATGTGTTCGACTTATGACAATCCGCAAGCAAATCAAGCAATTTGCAGTCGTGGCAAAATTGAACAACTAGGCACCGAGGCCAGGCACTGCTACATGGCAACAAGCATGATGTTGGCAGGGCGCAAATGGGTGATTCCTAAACTGTAGA